GCCAATAATGCCCAATTAGACAGTTTCACTTAGGTGTGTGCTCACTTTTGTTGCCAGTGGTTTAGACATTAATGGCTGTGTGTTGAGTTATTTTGAGGGGACAGCAAGTTTACACTGTTATACAAGCTGTATACTCACTACTTTACATTGTAGCAAAGTGCCATTTCTTCAGGGTTGTCACATGAAAAGATACAACAAAATATTAACAAAATGTGAGGGGTGTACTCACTTCTGTGATAGACTGTATATCCCATCTTGCAAAAAGTTTTCAACGTCCTTCCCTCCCTTGTTCACTACCTCCTTAAAAAAAAAAAAAAAAAGCCTTCCATTGTCTGTCTTCTCATACCTCTTCTCATACCTCTCTGTCACTCATTCTTATACTTTCGATGGCTCCCAAACCAGTGTCCTGAAAGTGCGCAGAATGCAGAGTAAAAATGCCATCTACCAACAAACACTCCTTGTGCCTCTTCTGTTTGAGCGAAGAGCACCATGTGGAAAAATGTTCACACTGTCAGGCATTCAGCAGACAAGCTTATAAAAATAGAGCTGCTCACCTGAAAATGGAAATGTGGTAAAGGGCTCTTGTCACTAACCACTCTTCCACTTCCAAAGAAACTGTTCAAAAGCAGTCATTCACTGAAACACTAGGCATGCTGAAACTGACTTTCTTGGCTTTGAAACAATCAGTTGCTACCAATGTGCCTAAGAAGCACAAGGAGAAACGGAAGCGCTGAAGATGGAGGAGCCAAAACAGGCAAAAAAGTTGGGCAAACCCAACCCTGCAGAAAGACCTAGGCACCACTCTCCATTCCATACCAAGCATCGCTTTTTGCCTGCTTTGCCAGCAGCCCCAGCCACCTCGTCCATGTAGGTCCTGCAAACAACTCGAGCTTCTCCAACTGGTCACTTCTCGACTAGCTCGATCGGAACACAGGACCAACTAACCCAAGACAAAAGAACCAACATCCTTCTCAGAAGGGGAAATACGCGACTCACTGAGTCACTGACCAGCAGTTCCAACCACTGCAGCCTGATGAGTACACACACCATACCTCGAGACAGACATGGGCCCCATACCTCCAATACCCCATCCATACGGTCCTCCCTCTTTGAATCTTGGTCAGATAGTTGGCCTTTTAGCATTTCTCCTTTGTTGGCCTTTTAGCATTTCTAATCTTGCTTTGAATTTCCCTTTGATTTTTTTGTTCTTCTGGAAGAGGTGTCTTGTTTTTTCTCCTTTGTTGCTTTCTTCTACTTCTTTGCATTGATCATTGTAATAGTTCTTTTTGTTTCTGTGTGATAGTTACTGAAAAGTTGCATTCAGGATTCTGACCCTATTTCTTTCACCTTTTACTTCTGTTTCTTGCCTGTCCTTTGCAACTTCAAGCATCTTTTCTGTCATCCGTATAGGTTTTTTCTTTCTTGTTGCTATTGGAATTGAGCTTTGGCATTCTTCCCTAATAATGTCATGGCTTTCAGTCTACAATTCCTCTGACTTGGTCAGTTAAGTTGAGGAATTTAAATGTGTTCTTTATGTGGACTTTAAATTGTTCAGAGATGTTACTTAAGTTATATTTTGGAACTATGTTTTTGTTTGTGATCTTTTTTATAATGTCTTTGATTTTTGAAATTAGGAACTGATAGTCATTACTACAGTTTGCTCCTGGTCTTGTTTTGGCAGCATGAACACAGCTTTTGCACCTTCTGCTTTCAATTACATAATCTATTTGATTTCTTCACTGGCCATCTGGTGAAGTCCATGTATATAATCGTCTGAGAGGTTGCTTAAAGTATGCATTTTGTTGGTTTCACAGAATTCGATGAGTTGTTCTTCCACTTCGTTTCTTACTCTTAGGCAAAATTTTCCTACAACATTTGTTTCTAATCAGCTTTGTTTTCTGCTTTTGCATTCCAGTCACTCAGGATTAGGATCATGTTTCATTTTTATTATCAATTTCCTCTTGAACATCTGCATAAAAGTTTTCAATTTCTTCTGCAGCATCTGTTGTTGGAGTCATCATGGTTATGTTGATAGGGTTTCCATAAATTCTGATTGAACCTTTCTGGTTGGATTTTGCATTATAGCCTCTTACTGCCAGTGTAATGGCTTGCTTCAGTATTAGAGCCATCCTATTTCTTCTGTGTTTGTCATTTCCAGTGTAAAACACTTTGTGTTTGTCTGATTGGAAATTTCCCATTCCAATGCATTTTAGTTAGCTCACGCCAAGTACAGCAACGTTCATTTTCTTCCATTAATGCTTTGCAATTTCAAGTTTACCTTGATTCATACTTACCACATTGCATGTGCCATTTGTGTTTTGCAGCCCAAAATAGTATAATAAATACTATTTATTTAGTATAATAGAATAGTATAATAGATATATTGTATTCTAAAATAGTATAATAGAATATTGCTTTCACATTTTGCCTTGTATCTCTGGTTATATACTTGCTAGAGACTTGACTTTCTTGAAAGGAAAGCAAGGAATCCAGGATATCTAATAGGCTAAGGAAGCCCCAGGTAGAAAGCCTGCATTCCATGCTCACCCCCATCAACTGGGAAATACGGTATTCCTTGTCACGTGTAGAAGATTATGTCCCTTCAATCTCACTGCTGGACAGAATATGTCTTGTCAACTCTGCTGGAATCCTGGTTACAGGTTGCTTGGATTACTTCTATTTCTAGACTCAGGAATTTGGCATGTTATGTTTGCTTTACTTTTGGACTTGTTAGTGCTTATTTAGGTATATAATCATCAGCTTCCTTTGCTACCCACGTACCTGTTTTTTCCAGTAGGAATTGTGGGAAAGTGTAGCTGAGTTGCTTTTCGACTCCAGGGCTGAGCTGACTTATAAATGCATGTCTTTGACATGTAAGCCTGTCCTGTTCTCTGTTTCTTTATAACAGTTATTTAAACTGAATATTTTTACAACAAAATGCTCTTGGTTTTGCCTTGATGGCTGTGCATGTAAATAAATTTCAGTATTTGTTTCTTTTCATTTTAGGTATGATGTTGATTCAAAGAGTCCAAACCTATCGAAGCATGTAAGTGCTGCTTGATTTTAAACTAAGATTTATTGAACAGGATTTATTTATGGCATTTATTTGTGGAATTGTAAATACTGTATTTCCTATGCCTATATGATTAATAATAGGAAATGGTGAATGGGTGGAAGAACTAAATTATATCCCTGAAAAAAATACTGCTTTATATGTTACATAATTTTTCAGGATTTCTTGGGACAAGTATTCTGTACACTTGGGGAGATTGTTGGTTCACAAGGAAGCAAATTAGAAAAGCCTATTACGTAAGTATAATTTTTAAAACAGTGCCTAAAATTTTGTAAGTTCTGTGTAAATAATAAAATTCAACACAGTCCCTGCCAGCATAACCGAATATATGTGATATAAAGAAAATGAAATGGGGAGGCAAGAAGGCAGCAAGCATTGTCAGAGCTGCAATTGATGCCAAACATTCTGTTTTGTCTATGTCTTTGGGTATATATCCTATTTGGGTTAGGCAAAACCTTGAATTTTGTGGTGTTAGACAAATGAGAATTCTAAATGGATAATACTAATAGGAGTTTTAATTTTACCCACTGATGCCTGTTTTGAATGTGAGTGGTGGTGCTTTAAAATAATTGTGAAACTGTCTATAATTAAGGCAAGTAAACTTTTCAGCATTCCCTTGTTAGAAAACATGAAAATGCTAATTGTAAAAAATTAAGGCATTTGTTCTTGAATTACAAGTAAAATGCACTCAATGAAATACAAAATTTGGTACTTGAATAACAGGAAAATGAAGGAAGTTTGCTTTGTCAGTAGAAAATCTACTCTTTGGGAGTATAACCTGATCAAATTTCAGAAACATCTGGTGAAGAATAGTTGAATTACAGAAGTTGAGAACATTTTCTCTGCAGTACAGCCTTCTCATTGGCTCCATTCAAATGCAACAATAAACTGTGGTTTAGTGTTAGAATGAGCTTCAGTGAGCATTAGACTCTCATATACCCTGTTGCTCTGGGTATGAATGTTAGGAGATTGGAAGGTTTCACTTTCACCTTGGATTAATTGAAGCAAGTTGCGATGCTGAACTCAGAAAGACTGGTTAATCCTAGCTTTAAAAAAAAATCAACCTATAAACAAGTTGCCTTGTTTCACCAAACAATTTGTCTGAGTTTGGACATTACAATATATTGCAGGTAATCTAAGATGGAAGTGAATGTTGCCATAGTTTCCCCTATGACAGCAACCAGAGAAGGTGGAAAGAGTGTGTGAGCCCCAGGCTTACTGTAGCTCATTCTCATGATGCTTAGCCATGGTTTAGCATTGCATCTAAAGGAGGCCACTGCCATTTTCTTGGCTACCCAAAGAAAGAACGCTGTTTCATGTTTTGAGCCAGGGTCATAGATTTCTGTCCCCTGGGAAGTTTGTGCCTACATTGTCTATCACGTTAAGACCCTTGTATTTTCTCTGTCATTTTAAATGAAATTATTTTTTTAAAAATTGATGGGAAAGGAAGTTTATATTTTAAACACCAAATAATCCATAGGGCAATCTGACATGGTTTAGAAGTGATGGTAAATTTGAAATGCACTTTTATTTTAATCATTTGGTAGTTAAGTATGCAATCATGCAATCATATTTTATTGTAATTTCTTATTTTGAATTGCATCTTCATTTGTATGAAGGGTGGTGTACAAACACCTTAAATAAAACAAAATGCATTCTTTTGTGTCACTTGGCTTACTTTATGTCAAAAATTCAAGAGTATTGCAAGGTTATGCCTTTAGCTTGGTGAAAATCTTTGTATTTCTAGTGTTGCGAAGTTTTGAAATTCCCATTTTAAATCAGTCATTGAGCTACAGACAACTACTATACTTCATGTCTGTTTGGCAGATTGAAGCTTCCCTGGTGGAATGTGGTAGCCAAAGCAAAACTGTCCATTGCTGGTCCGAGCAGGCTGCAGAAGTGTGTATTAGCTGATGGGCTGTATTTGTTGAAAAGAGGAGCTGCTGCATATGTTTGGCATGTAGTGGTATACTGCTTGCATGCATGTTCATACAGAAAGGTGCCTTGAATTCCTGCAGGTGTTTGTGTGATATCTTGATGCATGTTGTGTGATCCTTATGTCTCTGCTCTTTGCATGTAGTGAGCGACTTCTATCTTATTTACATTTGGTGCATTCTTGTATGTTGCTGCATTTTCTATTCTCTGTTTACATATGGTGTACTGTTGCTTGTTATGTATTTCTGCAAATGGGCTGTTCCTGCATGTCTTTATATGGACTGTGTTGCCGTGCTTTTCATATGTGGTATGCTACTTCATGTTGACATGTGTATTTGCATGTAGAATGCAGCTCCCATGTAATGGCAGATATGTATGTGTTCCTTCTTTGTATGCGACATTCTGCTGCATGTTACGTTAGTGCACTTGCTAGGGATGTATTCCTGAAGATTGCATGGGATGTGTTTTGCTGTACATGCTTAAGTGGAGCTTGCTCCTATGCATGCTTGCTTCTGATATGCTCCTGAATTTATGATGTGCTGTTGCATGTGACACATCTATTCTCCTATGAACGTGTGTTTGAGAGAATGAAAGTGAGAGAAGGTAGAATAGCCCTGTGTTCACAAGATTTGCAGTCTCTGGCATGACTCATATATTCTAATTTTTTGCTGTGCATCTTCTTTAGTATCTTGGCTATATTCACTTGAGCTGCAGCAGTCTGCAATAACTGTGGATTACGTAGCAGATTATTGAAAGTCACTGTCTCAGCATTAGCTCCTGTATCTCACTGGAGCTGAACAATGGCCTACACTGCATGCTTTGCACACTTTTTGAATGTGTTTAGCAAACTGTGTAAACAATTAAACAGGAATGTTATGTGGGTAATTGTGAAATGGTCTTATATGATACATATAAGGATCACAAAGATATTTCTGGGTACTTGTTATGAAAGAGGGGGATTTGTGGGGGCTTTTGCAGGGATAGTGGGCAGAGGGCAGGCACAGGCAGCTTAGCCACTACAAGAGAAGAGGATGGCCATATATTTTTCTTCCTGTCCTTCTAGTTTACCTGTCAGTGAATGCCCTGGATGCTATGGTGGCAACAACCTTGCCATGAAAATTGTGCTGTGGAATGCCAAATTAGTGAAAAAAATAGCTAACCAGGACTTGATCCTACCTGAATGAGGGATGTGTTATGGAGACCTGGTAAGATGAGTGGGATAGTATGAGCCTACTGGGGTTCTCCATATCATAGCAGCCAACATTGGGGGTTTAGGGAGATGGTCTATCAGAATTCCATCCATCTGACTAGGTAATTCACCAGTATCCCAGTTTGAAGTGGTTATTTTTGAGAATGCTCTCTCTATAGATATTTATTTATTTTATTTATTTAAAACTGTTGTATGCCGTCACCATATGCCTCGGCATATCTAACTATCTAGGTTCACCTTGGAACATGGTGGATTTAAATGGTTTCCTGACCGTTCTGGTAGAGCTTATTGCCACTTAATGTTCTCTGGCATAAAGAATGATCAGAGAGGTTGGCACAATACTTTATTAGATGTTTCCCCCCACTGATGGAACGGTTTTTCAGAAAAGATTGGACAATGAAGTGGCAAGCACAATGACCAGAGAATGGAAGAAAACCTAAAATGAATCTTATCAAACCATAGAGACTATATTAAGATCTATTCTGTTGAAAGGCAGAAGCTACAAATCTTCTGCCACCACTGCATGCAAATAGTCAGCTGGTGTAGTTGTTCCAAGTAATATCTAGGGCCTACTAAATTTGGAAGGGAAAAACTTAGTGGTCCACTATACACAATTGGAAGATACTTTGCTAATAAAGCTGTGTGTGTATACTCCAACTTAGATGCCATGACAACAGCAAATTTTTGTAATTGCCTTTTGTATCACAAATAGTTTACTTATGCAGCCTGAGGATATGAACAAGATTAATTGAAATAGAAGGTCAGCTTGAATTTCTGACTCTTGCCTTCACTTGGCTGGTTAAAACTTTCTGTTTGGCAAGCTTTTTTTTGTCAGGCAGGTAATTTTTATAATACAGATCATTATTTCAGAATATTTTTAATCTGCTGGGTCTCTTTCCATTTATGTTATTTCTCTTGAATGGTACAGCCTTGTTTTGTATTCAGTTTTTACAGTGCCTTGAGTAATGCAAATACTTTGAAATAATTGATATGTGTGAAGGTCTTCTGGTACCATATGTCTCATATAATTGATGTGTAATCAAACAAACACTGAAGTTCAACACAGTTCTCCTAGCAGAGAGGGCAGGTGTAATTCAGAGACTACTTTTTCAAAACATTTGAGATTTATAACCTTGATTTTAAAAGATAAGGCACTTACAAACTCATTCATGCACGCAGAGCATGAAAATTGTAAGGTAAGGTGCCTGCCTTAATTTTTCTCCTATGTAAGCAATGGACACATTCTGTAGGCTCATGTATTATGCATGCTTACAAGCTCTGTTGATCCACAATTCCCTTGATTATTCAATCCCAGTTATCATCTTCTGTAGTTAGAGGACTATGAACAATCAAGACAGTGTAGAGCAGTGGCACACTGACTTTCTGTTTCCCCTGGATGCTTTCATTTTACTAGTGATGAGCTATATATAACAAGGTTGATGAATGGAGAGTGCAGAGAGGGAATACTAAGGAGGGATGCATTTTCTATTGGTTAAGAAATTATTTTATTTATATTTGAATAAATGGTGTTATTCCTTCTCAATGCTATTTTGTTACAGAGGAATTCCTGGGAAGAAATGTGGCACAATAATATTGACAGCAGAGGAATTGAACTGTTGCCGGGTAACTTAAAATTTTGGTTTCTATCAGTTGCCATAAAGATTGTATGTAACTCTTGCACATTAAAAATTGAAGATGAGATAGAATAGTCTTCCCAGTTGGGTTCCTTCTGGATGCTTTAAACTGCATTTCCCCTAAGTAAACTTTGTCAGGAATGGTCAGGGATCATGAGATTTGTAGTCTGAAACTTCTGGAGAGTACCAAATTTGGGAAAGCTAAAGTATAGAGCATACTAAACTAACATTGTTTGAAGAGTGGATGCCAGAATACCTGCTGTGGAAACAGAAATGATTTGCATTTCTTCTTATGCTACTTTAAAGAATTCATTCTGTGTTTTTCCATCCAACACCGAATCCTCTTTTACCAGCAGTAAATGTATTGGGAAGCTGTTCCTCTGCCCATGCTGCATGATGTAGTTCACTCAGCTCTGGTCCCTTCTGGATCTATTGAGCAGCTACAGAATGCGTAACTTCGGGTTTTTAATTTGTATAATCTGTATTTTTGTACTATGTACTATGTTTGTTTATTTACGTAAGCTGTCCTGAGGTGTTAAGTGATGGGACGGCATACAAAAACTCTAGATAGATAGATAGATAGATGGATGGATGGATGGATGGATGGATGGATGGATAGATAGATAGTTTAAGGATCCTTTACTAGTTAACTGGAGTCAGAAAAAGCACTTCTCCGTATGATGTCAGTTAACCAGCACAAAAAATGCACTTTAAATTGAACAGATAGAGTCATTCTATCTTAAAACTCCCCCCCTCATATTTTAAAATAAATGCCAACTCAAACTCAGTTTTGTGGTATATGATTAGTTTAGCTTCTGCATGTAGAGGTCCACCTGCCTTTACTGGTGCAGCTAAATGCCTTTACCAGCTGGAAACTGCTGTACCACTATAGCCTTTATTGGACAGAGATCTGGCTTCAGTTATCCATATTTTGGTAGTATTCTGTGAATATTATCTCAGTGCAGTGTACATAACTGGTGTTCAAAAACTACAATTATTACAAAATAGAAGTACTGCAGTGAAGCTTCTAAATTAGACTGGGTGCTGGGAAAACATCAGTCTCAAAACAGCTGTAGTTATTCCTGCTTTGTTTCCAGGGTCACACCAAAATGCTGGTGTAATCCTTTAAAGCCCTTATATGACTCAGGACCAGTATATTAAACTAGGTGGGCACAGACTTTAGGCTTATTAGATATATCTTGATTTGTACTCACTCAAGATCAACCAGAACTAGGTACTGGAACTTGTGTTCCAGTTTACTAGGAAAAGAAAAGGAAAGCCCTTTTCTTCTGAAGTCAGTAAAATAAAAGCAATGAAAAGCAATTATACAGTTAATTATTCTTTATTTAAATAAAATGCTGTCAATGTTTATGCATTAATCTGTGGATTGAATATGTTTGTTAGGATGCTGTACTGATGCAGTTTTGTGCAAACAAATTAGACAAGAAAGACTTCTTTGGAAAATCAGATCCTTTCCTGGTATTTTATCGCAGCAACGAAGATGGCAGGTAGATAAATATTTTCTACTAAACATTGAAGCAAATGTTTTAAGTTCATGGCAAAGTATTTTCTTTCTAGCTAACATTGTTGTACATAACTCAGTATAGGTTACCATTCATTTGTATGGGTAATAGGAGAACGTGTATTTCCTCTATAGAAACAGATTCAAATATGTTGTATACATGCAACTGTAAAGCAGAGCTTGCTCAAAGAAACCTATAAAAACCTTTTAAATAAAATTCAGCAAGTTAATATCTCAGTATAATGTATAATAAAGTAAAAGAGATTTTGCTTCACCGGAAATTGCAACACGTATCCTATGAGCTCCCTGACTGGGAATCAGTCCTTGCGTGTACCACTCCTGCTTGCCTCACCTGCTTTTCATCCATTGGCCCACACACTTCCCGGGGCACGTTCTCAGCCAGCCACTGCTTTTTTTCCCCTGCTGCTTTAGAGAGTCACCATAGAGTAGGACAGTTGCTCTGTAGGAGCAACAGAGCAGCACCCCCCACTGTTGCCACACTCCATGCTCATATGTAAACAACCCCACCGACCCATAACTCTCTGCCTTCCTTTACTGCACATGTGCCCAACACTCCCCACTCCACATGCAAGAGTTGCACATTCTTCTGGGGCTATTTCCTCAGCTACCAGCCTGGTGCGTGTAGGGCAGCAGCACAAGCATCTGTGCCAAGGATAGAGGGAGTGTGCCCTGCCAGCCAGACCTCCATGATAGTGGCCCATCTGGGCATCTGCTTGGGAAACTCTACCAGCAGACTGTCAGGCAGTGGGGGCAGGGCTTGTGGGGAGTCCCCTGGTTTTTTGAAGACAGGATGGAAGTGGGGTAGAGGGTGAGAGGCAAAGCAGGAGACACAGCCTCCTTGGAATGCTTACCCTAGTTGCAAAGCCCTGCATACTGCCCTCCACAGGAAGGGCAGCTTCCTTAGTACACTGGGGCTTCCCTTTGTAGTGCAAGGGCAGTGCATTTACCAAGTGCCACTACAGCGAAGTCAGTGACCAGGCAGGAGTGTCACTCACAGCTAGCACCCATGGTTGCTGCAGCTAGAAGCACTCCCTTTCTTCCTTGCCTGCCTGCACACTCTGATGCTCAGCCACCATGATGCCTACCTTTCCTCACCACCTCACCAGGATGCCTACCTCGCCTCTTGAGGGGCCTCTTGCCTCACAAAATGGGGCACTGGGACAAGGTGACAAACATTCCACTCTTGGTATCTGTTAGCATCACAGCCATGGATTGGGGGCAGAAGCTGAACATATCTTGATATATCTTGTACATCTTCTGTTCCTCTTAATCTGTCTTTCATATACATATATGTGTTTGTGTGTGTCTCTTGGTTGTCTGTGTGTGCATGTCTGTAGCTGTTATTCATGTGATAAGGTGGAGCTGACTGCAAATGAATCCATAGAAGTTAAATGGACTTGATGGTGTCTATATTCTCCCTATATAGACACCATTATGAATTGCATGGACATTATGAATCTGCTTTGGGTGAATAGAACGGTTTCTTTTCATCCCTGAGAATTTAGTATTAAAATTCATTTTGTGTGAAGTCATCATATGTTTGGATCTGAGATACAGTGAAAAGGAAATCCCAGTATTTAATAAAATGCAAATGAGTTCTTTTAGTTACAAATTTGACTAAAAACAAAATGCATTTTTATTTCACTTTAATTGCAACAATTTGTTTTCAGTCTGGCAAACAGACTATAGATAAGAGTTACATAGATTGAATTTAAATCCATTTTGTGTTTCAGTTTTACAGTCTGCCACAAAACAGAAGTTATAAAGAATACGTTAAATCCAGTGTGGCAGGCATTCAAGATATCTGTGAGAGCACTTTGTAATGGAGATCATGATAGGTAAGGAAAACTAAGCTTTTTGGTTTAAGCATAACTTCCTATAACATACAAATTCATAGAAGTAAAACTTTTACAAGATTTAAGGTTCTTCAGTGTAGTTTTTCATCCTTTTAGAAGGCGTGATGCCAGTTCAAAACTTTTAGTAATTGTTAGCATTATTCTGTGCATACTGAATAGAACAATTCTATGCATGTTTAGGAAAAATGTGTAACTTCTTTATCTGTATGGCAGTCCTGAACCTTAAAAAGCCAGGCCTTGGTTTCCAGCTCTTAAAATGCTTGCTTCACTTGGCACAAAATCTAGTTGCTTACAATAGTACAATGGAGCTTTTGTCAGAATTCCCTTACCCTGACAGTCTGCTTTCATAGAAGTTGTCCTTTATCTTATTAATATTCCACAAGAAACACTCTGCACACCTGCAGTCTTGAACATTCCTTATCAGCCATTGTTTCTGTAGGCAAAAGGCAATCATGAGCCTATGCTTTGATGTTCAGACAGACATGGAACCTTGTCTAACCAGACAGGAATATTCCTTTACTAGTACTTTATAGTCATTATTTTGTAGCACCTGTGTAAACAATACTGCTCTTGTAACCATTATCTTTTAATTGTATAGAATGCTGTACATGTACCAAATACCATACATTTGTAATATATGAAAACTGGTTACTTTCTTCGTGCTCTGGTTCAAACTGTTTTTGAGGGGGATTCTGTTGACTATCTGAATCCATCTGATTGGAATCCTACCTTGCAGAGGTCGCCTCTGTGTGGTGCAAGAGGCTTGCTGCTGAATGTAATGGAAGGCTAGCTAGTATTTAGACATTGCTGCAATAATAAATAATCTCTGTAGTAGTAAACGTATTGGAATTGGTGTATCACTCTCTGGGAATCCCAGAACACCTGCCCATGGCTGGGGCAGCACAATCTGCCCTCTTCATATTTGTTTCAAAACTTTTTCAAATTGATGCGCTTCTTCAGTCCTCAATGTCAAGATCTCTTTTCGCAGATACCAGAGTGTAGGATGTGGAACAATCAATTCAAGCTGCAACAACCTATATTCAGGCTAAATATCAGGAAAAACTTCCTCACTGTCAGAGCAATACGATAGTGGGACCAGTGGGACCAGCTGTCTAGAGAGGTGGCGGGCTCTCTCCCCTACTAGAGACATTCACAAAGAAACTAGACAGCCATTTGAGTGGGATGGTGTGAATTGGTGTCCTGCAACAGCAGGGGGTTGGACCCGATGGCCTTCATGACTCCTTCCAATTCTACTATTCTGTGATGCTAGACATTAACTCTCAGCAAGCTGATGTTTTTAAATTATTATTCAAAAATCTCAGCTTTCTTAAATGACAGAATTGGGCATTAGTTAGGAGTATGAGACATTTCTTGAACTAATGCATACCTTTGAGAACATCAACATAAAACACACTGTCTCAATATTGCAGAAACCTTAGTATTCTTTCTGTATTTCTTAATACATTATGATGAAATGAACAGTACAAATATTTGACCTCAAAAGCAGTTTGTTCAGTGATAAAATCAATGACAGAACAGTGTCACAAAATATCCTAATTGATAGATTTTATCTTGGCAAATATTTCGTCTTAACTGAAACCAAAGAATTGACACCTACAGGTGGTTTCTACCTGGACATTGATCATCGAATGTATTGGTATTTTATCTGCAGTTTAAAAGATTTAACATTTTATACCTGCAGTCTTTCATTTCTTCTCTAAGTTCTTTCTGCTTAAATATAATTAACTTCCATAAACTACATCTAACAATAATTTGTACATGAACAATTAGGCTGATTCATAGTTTCTGTCTGAGCTGCCTTACTCAGTAACTTACATCCAACAACTCCAAATTGTCTTTTTGAACAGGTTGATACCATAATCTAACTTGGAACTAGGCAATGGCCAAATCTGTGTCTAAAGTATTAATGTGCTGGTTGATGTCCACCACCTGACTAGTATGGGCTGCAGCCTCAGCTGATTTGTCCTATAGTGCTATTACTGACATCGATATATTGTAGATTTATCTATGTAAAGTTAGCATTACAAGAGGGATATAATTTTTAAAATGATTAATTTTTCATCATTAGGAAATACGCAAGCATGATTTGTATTTCCTACTGTTTATTTGGCTTACAGCTATATAATATGACAAAGAATTTGCTCCTACCTATAGAAGTAAATATTTCTTTGAGGGCAGGTTCAGCACGCCGAGTTTCCGGTTAAATCTTTCTGTTAGTATGTATTTAAAAATGTTGTTCTCTTAGTTATTATGTGCACTATCAACAGTACCTGTGTCTAATTGCTAACTCTGTCTGCCAGTCAGCTATGGAGCAAGAAGTTGTTGTTAGTTGCATATCTGGAATCTGCCCTCACGGTATGGGGGGAAATCTAAATATTTTTCACTTACTAAGATTTTTTATTATTTTTATTTTAAGTTTTTCTATACTGTCATTCACTACTAATATGCTCTAGAACACAGCTTCCTTAGATATATGCTGCCATTTTCATACAGTTGGAAAAGTCTCATTTTGATTACCCTGCTCTGTGTTCTTATGTAAACTATGGAAGAGAATGACCAGCTCCATTCTGGCATTTGTATTTTGGAACTTCCTCTTCTGAGAAATGAGATAGGTTCAGTCCAATAATTTCCACCATCAGGTGAATTCTGTTTGTTGTTCATTGAGTGAGTGTACTGGTTTGTTTTTAAATAGGTTTTATTATGATGGATTTTTAGATCTAATTGTGCCTTGCCTTATCTGTTGGAAAGGCAGCTGAATTTTTAGAAATATTCTCCTATATTTAAAAAGACCAAAAATAATTGACACTTTACTATTTGTTAGATGTGTAAATGCACAATTCAAATAATAAAGCACGTTACTTATGTGTATATTTATGTTGACAAGCTTTTTGTGTATAGCTTTTTATGTTTTTGGTTTTTTTTCTTTTCTTTTTACAGAACAATTAAGATAGAGGTATATGACTGGGATAGAGATGGAAGGTAATTATTTTACTGCACACCACTAATTAACAATGAAAAAAGAATTGGCAGTTGCATTCTTATTTACAACCACAGTTTGTACAGCTTTGGGGAGTTGCCATGTTATGGAAGTATTCCTAGCATGAATTCTGTTTTTGAAAATCTTAATTAAAAAGAAAAAAAGCCACATCTGGATACAGAGGACTTACTGACCTATAGCCAGTATTCACTTCCTGGACAAGGTGCTCGAGTGGGCTGTGGCCAGGCAACTCCAAGCACTCTTGGAGGAAATGGAATATCTAGATCCATTTCAATCAGGCTTTAGGCCTGGGCTCAGAATGGAAACTGAGGGATGACCTATGCTGGGAGAGAGACAGGGGGAGCACAGCTCTGTTGAGTCTCCTGGATCTCTCAGCCCCTTTCAGTACCATTGACCATGGTATCCTTCTGGAGAGGAGAGGCTGGTTGGATTGGGAGTTGGGGGCACTGCTTTGCGGTGGTTCCACTCCTACCTGGCTGACCGTGTCCAGTTGGTGGAGCTGGGGAACTGTCACTTTGTGCCATGGCATTTGCGCCATGGAGTTCCACAAGGCTCCATTCTGTCTTCCATGCTCTTTAACATCTACATGAAACTGCTGGGTGGGAGCATCCAGAGGTATGGGCCGAAGTGTCAGTATGCTGATGACAATCAGCTATACCTCTTGTTTTCATGTAACCCAGGTGAGTCAGTGACTGTCCTGAACCATTGCCTTGGCTTGGTAATGGTCTGGATGAGGGCCAATAAACTGAAGCTCAATCCAGACAAGATGGAGGTCTTGTTGGTTGGCAGTCCATTTGTTCAACTGGGAAATTCTCAACCGATCCTGGACAGGGTTGCATTCCCTCTATAGGATAAGGTTCATAGCTTGTGGGTGCTCCTGGACCCTGAGCTCTTGCTTGTTTCTCAGGTGGCCTCATTGGCCAGGAGCACCTTCTATCAGCTTAGGCTGATTTTCCAGCTGCATTCCTACTTGGACAGGTGGAGCCTTGCCACAGTTATCCATGTGCTGGTAACCTCTTTACCTGGATTACTGTGATGCGCTCTACAGGGGATGCCTTTGAAGATGGTCCAGGCATTTCAATTAATACAAAACAGAGCAGCACAGTTACTAACTAGGCCCAGTCCTAGAGAACATATCACACTGGTTCTCCAGCAATTGTATTGGCTGCCTGTCATTGCCTGGGCCCAATTCAAATTGGTCACATTAACATATAAAGCCTTAAACTCTAAAGGAAGGCCTGTTTCCATATATCCCTACCAGACCACACAGGTCATCAATGGAAGCACTCCATTGTGGCCACCCCCCACCCCCATGAGGTGAGTGGGGAATTGGCAAAGAAAAGGGCCTTCTCTGTCATCACACCTCACCTTTGGAATTCCCTTCCAAGGGAGGTGTGACTGGCACACACTTTACCTTGCTTTTGGCACCAAATTAAGACTTGTTTATTTAGTATCTGTTTTTAGATTATGACTATTGGTCTCGCTGCTGGTTTATTGTTTTATTGGTTTTTTGTTTTACTGTTTATATTGTGTTTATGCTCCTGCTGTATTTATATTGTATTTTTATTCTATTATGTTTTAAGGTTTTTGTTATTATTGTTATTTATTTATTTATTTGGGATTTTTGTATGCCATCCCATTCGCCTAAGCCTCGGGACGGCTTCCAACTTCCTAAATAAATACAAATATAAATACATACATATAAAATCTGGATACATTCTGGCTCAATATTAAAACCAATAAATAAAATCAACAATTATTAAAATATCGTTTAAATAAAAAGGTCTTGGCCTGGCGCCAAAAAACAAATAACGACGGCGCCAGGCGGACCTCTCTGGGGAGCGCATAAGTGGGGCGCTACCACAGAGAAAGCCCTCCTCCAGGTACTCACCCTCCTAATATCTTTCACGGAGGGTTCCTGGAGAGGGGCCTCTGCCGCAGATCTCAAGGGGCGGGACGGCAAATTTTATCTGTATTTTCTACTTTTATTCTGTTTATGGTTGAGCTGTGAGCTGCTTTTGAAAGCCTTCTGGCTATGGGGTGGCATACAAATGCAATCAGTCGATCAATCAGTAGAGTGAAAACAGTGTGCAGGCATGCAAATGAACTAGATAAGAAATGTTCGTTAACTTTTAGCTTTGTTTAGCAATGTTAGTTTCTTAAGGAGTTTCATGAAGTAATGCATGTTTCAAAGGACCAGGCATAGGATAATGGGAACTCCCTAGATACATATCTATTATTCCTTTATATTAAGTATTTGGGAATGCTTTATGCTTTAGCTATAATACATACCATATAACCACTAACATACATTTTTATTTTTGTTTCTAGTCATGATTTTATTGGAGAATTCACAACAAGTTATAGGGAATTGTCCAGAGGACAGTCACAATTTAATGTGTATGAGGTAAAGAGGGGTGGGGGGGTTGTTTGTTTTGCTTTTTGTTTTGCTGCTATGTGTCAGTTTGGACTGTTTGTATCTCCATTGTAACATCTAATTCCTACAATTTTTATACTTACCATTTTAGTGACCAGAAAATCTGAAATGAATGTGTAGGTACACACATTTCTGTGCCTCTAGTCAGTATATTTGTGAATTCCTTTAAGAAGCTAAACACCATTTTACTGAATAGTTCTAATATTTTGGTACCAGTTTCTATATTATATGTATTTAACTATAGTGTTACTGAATTGTATTCTTCTGTGTGTACACCAATCAATCTAGGGGTTCCAAAACTGTCACATACTAAACCAGTCTTAAGTCAAACAAGTCAGCTAAGTTACCCCAAAATTAAAGTTTACCTGGGTTCTATGTGCATTGTGCTGACAAGAAGAGATAAAGTTGATTGGTGGATTATTACTTTGCCTCCTAATTTTGTCAAATATTAAAATGCATCAGGGAACATAGTAAGCCTCCATAGTAGTTATCAGTTGATATAGACACTCAAATTAGCTCATGTTAGGTACTGCTCTTTAGAATATAAGTTTAAAAGATTTTGATCATTTCTTGCTTCCAACTAATAACTAGAAATCTGTTAAAGTTGCTTCATTTCTAGCCTGACTTCATAGTTACATCCCAGGCTGATAATTTCTTTTAAGTGACATTGTTTTTACCTGTTCATATAATTGCTTTCACTCTGGTGTTTAAGAAGTGAACTGGAGATGCATGTTGAATTCATATAATTTTAACACTGGCTCTGTAAGAATGGACAGAAGTTATTTGGCTTCTGTGGTTATTTAAGTTAATTACCTTTACCTGACCAGGTACAGTAAATTATGTGGATTCATTATATAGTCACAAGCTTCAGTTAGATTCATATTTAGTTATTGTTTATTGTAGTATTTTCTCCAGTTTGAATAAGCCCATCAATACCATTTGTTATGTTTATTAGATTGCTGTGGGTTTGTATTGTACATGACTTTAGGTATATGGCCAATAATTATGATGCACTTCTAAACTGGAATAGGAAAGTTATCATATTCAAGAACATACCTGAAGCACAAAACATGGCTGACTGGGGCACACTGTGAGTTGTAGACCTAAGTATTCATAAGATTCTGCCATTAGAAATTTAAGGTGGTACCTTTCTATTCTGAAGTATCATCCTGAAGAGTTGATAAAATTGCTATGTTCTTTGCAATTGTTCCCATTCTTTGGCACTCCTCGAATGTGCTTTAGTTAACTGAAGTCCTTGTCATAGAATCATAGGATAGTAGAATTGGAAGTAGCTAATAAAACCATCAGGTCCAACCCCCTGCTCAGTACATACTTTTATTTCTGTTAAGAGTATTTAGCATCCTCATTGTTTAAGAATTGGAATGCTAGGATTATTGGATGCAGATATGTTTGTTTATATTGGGAGTGTTGAATCTTTTTTAGCCCCAGGTAGAATGAGAAACTCAAGAGGACAGTATTCCAGTGGTAGAAGGGCAAAGACAGGACCAGTGGTGACAGAAACTGCATGCTTTAGCTTAAGGCTCTTACTACCAGTATATATGCTTTAGGACGGTCACTTCAACCATTTGTGGAGGGGGGATGCACACACACACAAAAAAAACAAAAACAAAAAACAGCAGCAGCAGCAGCAAAATACCAAATGATCAAAGTAAAAGGAAGAACCATCTGGGCAATTCCGGAAGGCTGAATTTGGCCCCAGGAAGCCTACATGGATTTGACTCATGGCGGATAAGTTTTGGCCCACAAATTCAAAGTTCAACATCCCCTGATTTATATGATGTTTGAGAAACTCCATGTAGCTCTTAACATTAAACAGTTGCTTGATCTTACAAATCAAGGGTAGCTCATTGCATTGTATAATCATGACAGTACTATTTTGAATGAAAAGTGTTTTGTCTTGAAATACTTAAAATTGTTTTCAGATAAACAACTGTACATTTATTTTGAGGCACAAATTTTATTTTATAGATTATGCATGCAGTCATTTTCATATCAGTCACTGACTTGTGAATGGGCTTGATGAATGTCAGTAGTGTAATTTAAGCATAGACCTGGTTTGCATGTAATATTTTGTCGAGATATTTGAAGTGTGTGTATGGAAAGTTGTAAGACTAAGTTCAAAACCATAAGAAGTGCAGAAGAAAATAACTAGCACTTTCTTTATGTGCAGAAGAGTTAATACACTTGTGTTTAACCACATTTCTAGGTAATAAATCCAAAGAAGAAGGCAAAAAAGAAAAAATATGTTAATTCAGGAACAGTTAAGTACAGTTTTCTCTTCAGCTATATTGCTTATATCTTTTGTCATACATTCTGAAATAAATAAGATTTTAATGTATTCAACTGAAACACTCTTAGTTACTCTGTATGATGTCCTATCTTGGGAGAGAGATGGGATGTGTTTCCAGATTCTCCTTGATCTCTTTGTGGCTTTCAGTACCATCAATCATAATATCTTTCTGGGGTGACTTTCTGAGTTAGGAGTAGTGGGTGGTACACACCATTGGTTTTACTCCTACTTGGATGGCCAACTCCAGAAGGTGTACTTGGAGGATATTGCTCAATTTTATTAAGTCTTCAGGGAACATAAGGTTCTGCAGGGTTCAGTTTTGTCCTCCATGCTATGTAACATTTACCGGAAACTGTTGGGTGGAATTATCTGGAGAACTGGAGTGCATTGCCTGTCTGCTGATGACACGCTGCTCTATATCTCCCTTTCATCTTTATCAGGTAAGGCTGTGATTTCACTAGATTGATGCCTGATTATGACAATGAACTGGGTGAAGATTACTAAACTGAAATATAGTCCAGACAAGACTGAGATGCTGTTAGTAGGTGATTCTTCTGACTGGATGGAAGGTGTTCAGCTTGTTCTCAGTGGGGTTGCACTTCCCAGGAAGGAACAGGTTCATAGCTTGGAGGTCCTCTGGAGTCATCACTGTGAGTTTTCAGGTGGCTTCAGTGGCTCAGCATGCCATCCAGCAGATGTCCCAGCTTCATCTTTATTTGAATATGGGAAACAACACACACAAAAGGAGGACAGAAGAAAGGGGTGACAGGGACAGGATTTTCCCCAGATGGCTTGATATTGTGAATGTTGGAAAGGGGGATACAAACAGGCACTAAATACATTCTGGTTTGCATGAAATGCTTATCTTTACTCTTACATACTGAAGAAAATTTAAATCAGAGTGGGTAAAAATGAAATAATAATAATAATATATTTTATATTCAATTTGAATTTTAAAAAATCAGTTCTTAGACTATAAATAAAATAATACATTTCTTCCTCACTTAAACATATCATAGTCATATTTAAAACTCATGATAAATATGTGACTCTTAAAATGACAGTCTCATTAAACTGAAGTTATCTACACACTTCAGTAGGTAACAGACATTAATTTCAAATTCCATTTTCTTTCACAAAATTAATATGAGCAAATAGAACTAATTATAACTATAATTAATGAATTATAAACAGATAATACATTTTGGTTTTGTTTGCTAGTTTGTTTTTTGTGAGACCATGAGTGGGCCAAGGTGCCTTGAAGCAGTAAGGAGCAACATGGGAGAGTAGAGGGGGAGAACCCAAATTCACTGTTCATTTTTCTCTAGTCCCACACAAAGGTTGCAGTCCTGTACCCACTTACTAGGGAGTTAGCTCTTTGCACTCAGTGCAACTTAATTCTTAGGAGACATGTATCAGTTTGTGCTGTCAGCTCAACATGGCCGCTATTCCTAAAAAACCCCTACATGACAATGTTTTAAAGGTATTCCCTGTATATGTAAAAAAAAAAAAGGCAAGGATGAAAGCATGCAAAATATATACAGTTATGCTAAGAGATGCAAAGGCTGTTTGTAAAAATAGCAAAATACAAATAGTACTTCTTGTTATATGTAAACCATTCTGAGAGCTTTGTTAGCTGTGAACAGTATACATAAGCAATAAATAAATAAATACACTATTTAGTTGTAAAATAGGATAAATTAGTTGTTGATTTTGCACCATTGATCCAGAAATATAGGAAAAAGTTAATTTAAATGTATGTTTTTCTTGAGGATTTTAGACAATAATTTAAATCACTGTAATTTAAATCATTCCATCCTGTTTTAAGTAATTCCCTAGGATTCTAAAATACTGTACATAATCATTTATATTTGTGCCTATGTTGCAAAGTAATGTTCATTACTTGTTCTGTGTCACTTGCTCTCAGGTAACATTACTTTCCTTCCTAGTGGAAACAGAAGTTTCATTTCTTGACTATATTAAAGGCGGGTAAGTGATCCCTTGTTACAGAAATCTGTTGAATGCTGACTTGTAATAAGAACAGTAATAGCAATATTAAGTTTTGATATTGAAAAATAAATATGTCTGTGTAAAGATAGCCAATGAAGTATAGTGGTTAAGAATGCTAGACTGGGATTCTGAAGATTTGATTTCCAGTCCCCCACTCATCCATGAATTCACTGCCGGCCTGGGCACTGACTCAGCCTAATCTATTTCACAGGGTTGTTGTTATGAGGATAAATGGAGAGGAATGTCGTAATAATAAAGACATATCAATACCTACACTGTTGCTTGCAAATGTATCTATATACTATAGAAACAAATGCCAGATCCTAGAAAGACACACTCAATTTACTATAACCCTCTTACAACTACAACTAGAAAGTTATCTAATGGTGTCTTCTTAATTTAGTTGACTTATCACATCTTGGAATTTTATTGTTCATTGTTTTTAGCTGTTTCAAATAGCAGTTGGGAGGACTTAGTTTTCTTCAGGACCACCAGAGGGATGGGGGATGTAATTGGGGAGCCCAGACACATTAAATATTATAAGTCATTTAATTTTCAGTTGATTCTAAGAAAGGTATTCTCCTACCAAGGTTTTGGGATTTATTTATTTTTTTGCTGGACCTACTGGCATAAATTTAATAGAGGTAGTGTTTATATGTGAATCCATGTGAATTTTATGGCTATATTATATTTCAAATTAGCTTACTTTACTAACTTCTAGTTTGTATGAGTTAGGGAGCAATCTCTTGGCTGCAAAGCAGAATCCAGTTGACAGAATGAGTATGTGGAGTCAGAAACTTGCTCCAAGGTCAAAGCTGGGACTTTGACCTCAGATCTCTCCTCTCCATCCTTGTACCAACATGGAATAAACAGTGCCAGCTGCTGCTTCAAGGTCATACAGGCAATCTCAAAGATGGAGTTTTGTGAGCAGGGAGAGCTCAATTTTATTTATTTTATTTATTTAAAACTTTTCTATACTGTCCCATCACAGACATTTCAGGACAGTTTACAACAGATTAATACAATAAAATAAAAATACAAATAAGAGTAACTGTTGCACAACATCTGATGTTAAAATATAAAACCACTAAATAAAACAGGTTAACAATTAAAATACTGGGAGAATAAAGACGTTTTCACCTGATGCTGAAAGGAAAGAAGCATTGGCATCAGGCAAACTTCTCTAGGAAGCGTGTTCCACAATCGGGACACCACCGCAGAGAAGGCCCTCCTCTAGGTAGTCACCCTCTTGATCTCTTTCAAGGACGGCTCACGGAGAAGGCCATTGACTCAGATCTTAAGGAGCAGAAGGACACATAGGGGAAAAGGCGCCTTCAGGTATCCAGGACCCAAGCTGTAATATCCTGAAAGTGCTTCATCCTCTTCTCTTCATGCTGTGGGACAAAACACTTAGATGACCCAAATTGGTCATCTTAAGTGTTTTGCAGGATAGGAAAACTGTGGTGATAACCTTCAACTCTGTACCCTTTCCACCCTCAATAGGATACCCATAATCCTCCAATTTTTGGAGGGTTATTGCTAGCCTCCTTAGATTGCGTTGCTCATCTTTTTAAAAAACATTATGCTAGAGCTTCTTCATTCTGGTTTGCTGTTTAAATTTACATGTACAATTTAAATTGTGGAATGTTCAAGATATTTCTACATACTGCATTAGGGGAGTTACAGTATATCACAGAAGTGAGTGCACCCCTCACATTTCGTAAATACTATATCTTTTCATGTGACAAGCCTGAAGAAATGGCACTTTGCTACAATGTAAAGTAGTGAGTATACAGCTTGTATAACAGTGTAAACTTGCTGTCCCCTCAAAATAACTCAACACACAGCCATGAATGTCTAAACCGCTGGCAACAAAAGTGAGTACATCCCTAAGTGAAACTGTCCAAGTTGGGCCCAGAGTGTCAATATTTTCTGTGGCCACCATTATTTTCCCACACTGCCTTAACCCTCTTGGGCATGGAGTTCACCAGAGCTTCACAGGTTGCCACTGGAGTCCTCCTCCACTCCTCCATGATGACATCACGGAGCTGGTGGATGTTAGAGACCTTGCGGTCCTCCACCTTCCATTTCAGGATGCCCCACAGATGCTCGATAGGGTTTAGGTCTGGAGACATGCTTGGCCAGTCCATCACCTTTACCCTCAGCTTCTTTAGCAAGGCAGTGTTCGTCTAGGAGGTGTGTTTGGGTTCGTTATCATGTTGGAATACTGCCCTGCAGCCCAGTCTCCGAAGGGAGGGGATCATGCTCTGCTTCAGTATGTCACAGTACATGTTGGCATTCATGGTTCCCTCAATGAACTGTAGCTCCCCAGTGCCGGCAGCACTCATGCAGCCCCAGATCATGACACTCCCACTACCATGCTTGACTGTAGGCAAGACACATTGTCTTTGTACTCCTCACCTGGTTGTTGCCACACACGCTTGACACCATCTGAACCAAGTAAGTTTATCTTGGTCTCATCAGACCACAGGACATGGTTCCACTAATCCATGTCCTTAGTCTGCTTGTCTTCAGCGAACTGTTTGCGGGCTTTCTTGTGCATCATCTTTAGAAGAGGCTTCCTTCTGGGATGACAGCCTTGCAGACCAATTTGATGCAGTGTGCGGCGTATGGTCTGAGCACTGACAGGCTAACTCACCACCCCTTCAACCTCTGCAGCAATGCTGGCAGCACTCATACGTCTATTTCCCAAAGCCAACCTCTGGATATGACGCTGAGCACATGCACTCAACTTCTTTGGTCGACCATGGCGAGACCTGTTCTGAGTGGAACCTGTCCTGTTAAACCGCTGTATGGTCTTGGCCACTGTGCTGCAGCTCAGTTTCAGGGTCTTGGCAATTTTCTTATAGCCTAGGCCATCTTTATGTAGAGCAACAATTCTTTTTTTCAGATCCTCAGAGAGTCCTTTGCCATGAGGTGCCATGTTGAACTTCCAGTGACCAGTATGAGAGAGTGAGAGCGGTAACACCAAATTTAACACACCTGCTTCCCATTCACACCTGAGACCTTGTAACACTAACGAGTCACATGACACCGGGGAGGGAAAATGGCCAATAATGCCCAATTTGGACAGTTTCACTTAGGTGTGTACTCACTTTTGTTGCCAGTGGTTTAGACATTAATGGCTGTGTGTTGAGTTATTCTGAGGGGACAGCAAATTTACATTGTTATACAAGCTGTATACTCACTACTTTACATTGTCATTTCTTCAGGGTTGTCACATGAAAAGATATAACAAAATATTTACAAAATGTGAGGGGTGCACTCACTTCTGTGATATACTGTATGCTGTTTATATGGTTGCTTATACTGTTTAAAAGGCAACTTCCTGCCTGTAGTAATATGATATTCATTTTTGATGGATGCTATTTGTCAACTATATGTGACAATCATATTCATCTGCTATGTGTCATTTTATTGGTTTGTCTTGAATTTTTCCTCACATACCAACATTTAGTTATATTTATTTAATTTGTTTCATAGGACTCAAATCAATTTCACTGTGGCTATTGATTTCACAGCTTCAAATGGTAAGTGTGAAATTGTTTTCTGTTAAATGAAGCAACCACCATGTATTAGTTTTTTTATTATTTTGCTAGCTTTTTTGATGTTGCATCCTTCTGTTTTTGCTTGGCCTATTATGGGAAGCTAGTGAAAAAAATTGCAATGTCTTGAAACCCAAGACACTGGGAAAGGCACTTGTGCTAATGTGAGGTGGTAGAGGGCTGTTTTGCCAATTTTCACTTCATGATAGGGAAGCCCAAATACCACATCTCATATTATTCCAGATATGGAACCCCCCGCTCTTAGATGCATATTTGCAGGAGATACAGGAGACTAGAGCAGGAAGTGGGAGGCAGTTAAAACAGTACACAAAAACTTGGATGCAAGCTAGCAATATAACGTTTCAGGAAATTTTAAAGCCATTAAAAACTGGTGTTTTTTTCTTGGACTTTTATTGAAGGGGTGGGGTGAAAAGAAACCTTCAACACTTTGGGGAAAAAAGAAATCACTGCAGTACTTCTTTTCTAGCGCTTTTTAACAATCCGAAGTCACCTACTTTAGGACTGTAAAATGTATTATGTGTAACTTAATTTGTTGATGAACGTATTAAAATTAAAAAGTAAATTCAAGAAATATCTAATTATTGTCTGAATAAACCATAATTTTAAATTTAACATGCCAAACATGACATTATGAGCAAATGAAGTTATGCACAATGTATTTTAGATTCTGAATTTTATGTGACCAGAGAAAATTACAAATAGTCTCTGAAACAAGTGAATCATCCTAAAATCATCCAGAGGAACCAGGATGAACTGATGACAATTACTGGTACACAGCAACTGCTCTGTTTGTGAGGAATTTTAGGAATTAGTTTAGGAAAATCTCATTTAAAATAAATGCTATGTAGAGTTTCCATAGCTAGGGAAGACTCTCTCACCTTATTAGAAATGGTAACTAAGCATATTTGATTTAATTTAGGAACCTTTAGCAACTATTGCATTTCATTTCATGAATGCCCAATAGCCAGTCCAAATTCAATAAGATCTCATTAATTAACTCATTCCAATTTAATGTAAGCTTTTGAAATATATCTCTAGGAATGAGTATTCTCAAGTAATAAAGTTGTAAATTACCAGTTAGAATCACAGAATAGTAGAGTTAGAAGGGCCTATAAGGCTATTGAGTCCAACTCCCTGCATAATGCAGGACTTCAAGAGACTGTCCAACTGCTTCTTGAATGTCTCTAGTGTTGGGGATCCCACAACCTCCCTAGATAAGTGGTTCCATTGCCATACTGCTATAACACTCAGGAAATTTTCCCTGATGTCTAGCCAGAAATTGGCTTCCTGTAACTTAAGCCCATTATATCATGTTCTGAATTCTGGGTTAATTGAGAAAAGATTCTGGTCCTCATCAGTGTGGGCAGCCATTCAAGTACTTGAAAAATGCTATCATATCTTCCTTCAATCATCTCTTCTCAGGGCTAAACATGTCCAGCTTTTTCAATCTTTCCTCATAGGGTTTTGTTTCCAGTCCCCTGCTCATCTTTGTTACCCTCCTCTGAATTTTTTCCAGTTAAACAGTTAGTATGTTTTAGTTAATTAATTAGTTTCATCTCTGTACCAAGACCAAAGTTCTTTGTGCAATTTGAATCCATATGTGATATGGTGCTTCCAGTCAAGAATCAATTCAGAATTCGGTAGCCAGACAGTAAGGAAAGTATTGTTTGTTTATTTTTTTGTTTATTTATAACATTTCTATGCCGCACCCATCGCAGAAGCCTCGGGGCGGCTTATTAATCATCTTCATGAAAAGTTGAATCAAATAATTGGAATAAACAATAACATAACAGCACAGAGAACCAAGTTTAACTTCAGTCAGTGGGGAAGGTGGCCATCCCTGTCTGGAACCTCTGCCACTGAATAAAAAATGGATAAGTTGCCATCAGTCATAACTCTACTTACTTCTTGGGACTGAATATAGAATTCTGACCCAACTCTGTAGAATAACCAAGTTTTTTCAATGTATGAAAAATGAATTGCCAGTAATTTTTATTGAAGACCATCTCAGCGTCCAAAAAGGCAATAGCAGCTGTGCTTGGTCTACCCATGTTTAGTGAAATCAGATTAATAACCAATTTAAAAATATATGTTCATACTTATTTTTAATAAATAACTTAATAAATGAATAAATTCTATCTGGTGTAATTGGGCTATTGTTTTAATAACGTGTTGCAGACTATTGACCAAAATTACAGCTAATTATCAACATTAATTAACAAAATTAGTTGATAATTAGCACAGTAGATGTGATTGTTATTAGACTAGGAATCACATCATCATTGTACATTGACAAAAGAATGCCTTATTCAGAAATAAAATTAAAGGGATAATTAAGCTTTGGAATTAAAATCTTGAAAATGTTTTATAATATTTAGCTAGAAATCTGCCCCGCCCAGGTGATTGCCTAAAATTCACATTAGCTATTGTTTTGTAAAGGCACCAAAAGAAACAGTGTAGTCTAAAGTTGCTATGAAAATAATATCAATTTCCTACTATACAATTCTGTGTAGAATTTTAAAAATAGAGAATTTATGTCTTCAAATAAAGTATATATATTAAAATTCCCATTAATAGCCAAAATAGCATGTAAGAGATTTTGCTGTTTGAGCTAGTGAGCAAAAATTTTATTAGGGTGTTCATGATTTTTCCAATATTAAACAGGTTAAAACCTGTCTTAAACAGGTTAAAGCAAATTCAGCCTACTTATTAGAACATATTTAATGTACTGAATCTCCTAATAATGTTGTGTGCAGTTAGAGAAATGGCAGACTGAGTTATAAGAGTTTCAGCCTCTTGCTTAAATCTATTTGTTGCTTTAAAAAAAGTTTTCATGAGATGTATAGACTGTGATTTGACCCCATATAAAGAATTTGCTGGCCTCCCATTCAGTGGTACTCTCCATAATTTTGAAATACTCAAGTAGCTCAGTGAAAATCTAATTTTTTAAAAGTTAATCAATTTAAAGAGAAACCTTAAAACTTCAGATAGCAGGAGTCCTCAGCAAAGTTGAAAGCCTTGCTATATGAAAGTCATTGCCTTGAATTGGGCTCTGAAATATAGTCAGCCAGTATAAACAGGCAGAACTGGTGTTTCCTATTCACACCATCTGGTCTGTGCCATCAGTCTGGCTGTCATGTTTGTATAATCTGCAACTTGTGAGCAGTATTCAAGGGCAGTCTCATGCATCATGCTTTGTAGTTATTCAACTTGGAGGTTACTGGAGCATAGAATACTGAAACCAGGTTATCCCTATTCTGATACGCATAGCAGGGTCATCAGCTAGAGCTGGTAGAAATCAGATTCCCTGGCCTTGGCTTCCCAGACTCCAGTCCACTTTGTGGCAGCTCAGAGTCAGGACTGCTCAGCCATGAAGAGCTCACTAGGAAGGGAACTCCCCCACCAAACTGCTGCAGAAGTAGCATCCCTCTTCTATGCCAGTTTGGGCAGCTGCTGATGCTAAAGAAGGTTGCCAGTTGCGCAGCAAGGGCTCCACAAGCATTCTTGAACTTCCTTTCACTTGGCTCACTTTGCAAGAGCAGGCCAAGGAAGCTTGCGTATTCTTGGAGGGACAGATTCTGACACGGTTCATCCCAACCTTAGTAGAAGGCACCCAATGCCATTGAAGCCACCTAAGTCTCAGTTGGCAATGGTGGTTCCAAGAGGAACCCTAAATTACAATCCTGCTTCTTCAGGTGGAGTGCAACCATATCTAGAAAAATGGGCCTGATTTCTAGAAAAAAATCAAACTGTTAAAAATGTACACTTTCTTCACATAATATAGTGATTCTGCTTACATGTTGAGAAATTGATTATGACTTGAAAGCCCTTTAAATGTCTATCAGTAAAAGTTCCATTGGATCAATAATGTGTTAAAGGAATGGAAGAAATAACTGCTGAGGATCTTACAGAGTAAATTAAACATTTTCCCTCCCATGGCTTCAAAATTTCCAGAAATTTTGTATCTTTAATCTTTGCATAAAAGCTTTCCTTTTATGTAGTATTTAGAAATTATTTTGGGTATGTGTTGGGTGGGAGTAGAGGACAGATAGCAATATATGAACTCCTTATTTTATTTTATTCATGATTCTAAAAAAAAGGACCTTGGGGAAAAATATGTCTGCCATCCTCCTATCCCTGGATTTTTCTGGGTTTTCTTCACATTTCTTAATCAAGCCAGTAAATTCATGTCTGGAATTAATCCATTAAGCATTCTGAAAATGAACTTTCTTAAGCTCTTTTTGCAGTACTATTTAAGTACTCCCTAGTATCTCATAATGTGGAATTTATTGCCTGAATAGACCCTTCTTTGCCACTTTCTGTAGATTGCTGGAAAATGATAAAAATCTTATTTATTTACCCAGGTATTTAGCTAATTTTTTAAGACTGATGTTCTAAAACAACTGAGTTGCCTTTATAATATCAGGTTCATTGTTTCTAATTTAATCTTCATTTTTATTAATTTAATAAATGGATGACATTGGCAGCTGAACAGTAGAATTATGGAAAGAATTAAGCTTAAGCATCAGTTTACACAGATGTACAAACTACATTCCGTATAATGAGATAATTAACTAGCTATATTCAGCATTTCTATTAAACCACAGTTTCATGAGTCATGGACAAACCTAGCTTCCTCCTAAGACTTCCCCATTTCTTCTCCTGCTTGACAGGAATGAATAATTCAGAAGCGTCTGCCTTTGATTCAGTTTGCCATGTTGTAAGAACTTTGAACTGTGGTTGGTTTAAACTAGTCAGCTTTATAAATCACAATTTGAATTGTGCTCATTTGAGACTAACTATGGTCAAGGTAGAACGCAGTTTCCAAGTTTTTTTGTAATTAATCAAAAGAGAAAGCACTAATTCCCGAATGCTTCTTCTGGAAACATGGAAGAGTGGGAATGCGGGCATAGGAACCTGAGGGGAGGCTGGGCTTGTTCACATCTCATTAAGCCATAGTTTCTTGGAATGTTCAAATGGAGACTTGGTATTCTAAGCAGGATTTTTAGCTTTTTTAACAGTAGTTCATAATTCTGAATATAATGGTACTTTTGAAAAAGTAAAGCATATGATAATGCAGTTTTGAAGGGCTGCACTTCAAAGAAAGTCACACTAAGCATGTGCAAGTTCTCTGGAATTGCAGAAGAACTTTGGATTTTGACACCTTATGTACCTAAAGTAAATACTGTTTTTTTTTTAAAGCAAAATGTATAATTCCAAAGTTATCTTTACATACTATATTTCAAATTAATAGTTGAAAGAGTCTTTAGTGGCCCCTGAAATTGTGTTTTGTAAAGACCACTAAATAATGTGTTTTGTTTCCACAGGTAACCCTGCACATCCAACCTCACTCCATTATATGAACCCATACCAGCTGAATTCTTATGGCATGGCATTAAGAGCAGTAGGTGAAATCATTCAAGACTATGATAGTGACAAAATGTTTCCAGCTCTAGGTTTTGGTGCTAGACTGCCTCCAGATGGAAGAGTATCTCATGAATTTGCCTTGGTAAGAAATGGTTACATCATCCTCCCCTCCCCTCCCCTCAACACAATTTGCTTCTGTACCTCATTCATTGCTTCTTAGAACTAATGTAAGACGTTCTACCCTTGTTTTTTGCACTATATTTTACATTTTAATCGTGAAGCAAAATCATTCGAGCAAGCAAGAGTTCGAACTGAACTCTTGGAATCTATATTTCATTTTAACACTGACCCAATTTGAAGGCATTGCACCACAGCCATATGTCTGCTAGAGTAACTAGCTGGCCATAGGTTTTTTGACTCAGCTACAAGGACAGAATATTGCTCCAGCCTTGGGTCTCTGAGCACACTCCAACCTCCAAGACCATATAAACAATATGGGCCATATAAACTGGTATACACAGCAATCTATAGTATCCTCATTTTACATAATTGATACTTTGTTTCTATTTTTCTTTATAGAATGGAAACCCTCAAAATCCTTATTGCAGTGGCATAGATGGTGTAATGGAAGCATACTACTTGAGTCTAAAATCTGTACAGCTTTATGGACCAACAAATTTTGCTCCTGTTATTAATCATGTAGCAAGGTAATGATTATGATAGCTATTCTGGGAAAATTCAGTTCAGTAACCTTATAGTGCCAATATAATTATATTCAGGAAAAGATGAGAGAGGTACAATTACCTCTTTCTTTTGCAATTAGTGCTAACACTGTTCTGTTATGCAGTGTCTTCAGTCTTTGTTACTTTGGACATTTGCACAAGAGGATTAATTTGTTTTTGAGCTTCTTTGGCTATTCATGCAATTATTTAATTATTAATGAAGAATATAAATGGAAAAGAGATATTTGTAGTGCCTATGAACATTCTAAAAAGTGATAGTTCAATATTCACAATGCAACTGATTGAATCAAGAACCATCTGAAACTTCACATGTAGAAACATTCTACTTTTATCCTCAAAGCACTGTTAAGAGCGCCATGGAATTGGGTTAATTTTCATGACTGTGAAACGTTTTCTTGAATCTCAGATGCAAATTTTTTATATTTATTTAAGAAAGGTGGGGGATTTTGTATATTAACTAGAGCATTCTTTTTAGAAAATGAAATGTCTCAACTGGTTATCTTCTTAATCTCTTCAACAGTGGGATACTGCTTTGAAAAAGTTGTTGATTTCCTTGTGTTAAACCACTTGTGATTGTTTTCCTAACCATTAGAATTTTAAGAACTAAGATAAAATCTTGGTATAAGGCACGTAGAACAGACTTGGACAGACTTCAGATGTGGCTTTGGAAGGGGTTTTTTAAAAATGTTTTTTGTTAGATCCACCAGCTGGAGCCAAGTGTTTACATAATGGCTAAATGGGGCTGATGTACACTGTGAATTAAGGAATAATAAGATGTGTTGGAGATGTGCTCAGCCCAAGAATTTTGTTCAATGCCATAGCTAAACTCTCAGCCTTTTCTCCCAACCTCATTTTGCTTTCTTTCTGAAAAGATAATTTGTTAGTTGTTGTTCCTGTTAACATCTGGCTGTCAGAAGCCCATGCCAATCTACTACAAGTCATCCAGAGATCTAGACCCTAATCTACCATTTGCCCATGACTAATCTAGAGGAAACTCAACTTCTAGGATCTATATATTCTTTGCCCAAGACACAAATGTGTTTTTCTCTTTTAAAATTGAATTACATTTGCTTTGGAGATTTTCAAACAGCAGTTTCTCCTGAGGAAAAGCAAGTTGTCAGCTTCATATAGTCTCATCTGCTAAACATACAATACATAGAAATGTACCACAAGAGGAAACAGTGGTACATTAAGAGTGGTACATTAGGAGGCGAAACTGTGATGGGAGGGAAAAGAGCGTGCTCAATGCTTTTCATGCCTGTTTCTTACTCCAATCACATTTCACCACTACCAACATCCTAACCTTTGATCATTCATGATTCCATCATTTTCATTCAGCATGAAAAAACTGTACAGTGGTAGGGTATGCAATTTGGAGCAGCACAATATTGATGCAGAAAGAATACAGTGATCTTTCATGGTTCTACCATTTTTTCTCTAAATTTTGTCTCTCTGACCTGCTTTGCTGAAAACGTATAACTAAACACTGTTAATATATGGCTTGCTCGGATACAGTAAAAGTGACATTGTTTTCTCTCAGTGAAGTGGATATGGATGTCCTCAGACCTTCTAAGAATATCCTTCTAGGTCATTAGACTGCCATTATTAGTGGGCTGGTACCTGATGGGTAATCTTATGCATAACTATTTAGATATAAGTCCCATTGAATCCATTTCAGCCTTATTGCCAGATAAGTGGATATAGGGTTTCATTCTCAGAAAAGTATAATCATATATTCAACCCATTATTGCAGTATATATAGGTAAATCAAGATATGCTTATTTATAGAAAGTATTTTCTGAAGGAATGTTACTTAGCTTGGAACATTTATATATTGCCTGGCGCCCAAAAATCCTGCCTTATACTTACATGAATTCTGTAGCTTTACTTGTACTATGTTGGCCTAACAGAGTTTCCTAAACAAGAAAAAGAAATCTCCACTGGGGCAAGAGGACATATTTCAGTGAGGAGGGGGAGACACTGAACAAAAGTAGTTATTCATACTTAGGAACAAGGTTACAAGTGTTACCTCAGAGGGCTTTTGAGAAAAACGTTGGGATGTGAGGAAGAATTCAAAGTAATAGAGGAAGACTACATTCTATACTGACTGGGTTCACATGAAACAACAACCAGTGATTAAAAAATGCAGTTGCTTGTCATGTTTTCTGAACCCAGTTGTGGTGCTCAATCATAGTGACTTATTGTGGCAAGCCAACCCCTCCGTCCTCATTCCTGATTGGGTGAAAGGTGCTATGGTGTGCTCCAGACTCCCCAATGTCAACCAGAGCTGCTTCCAGCCAGAGCAAAGAATGGGGTAAACTTGCCCCCTCCCCAATTCTGCTTGTGAGAAAGCTGTTCTGGCAGTTACTGGGTTGGGGAGCCACAACCTACTGAACTCATGGCTTCCCATCCCAGCACTAACCAGTGCGACTTTCAAATAAGCACCAGCAAGGAAGGGGAGAGTTGTGTTCAGTGTAGATGCCCTAATCTCACCTAGTATCCTCACCTAGTCCATCTCCAATCCTCATCACTATGGTCTTGGAGTAAGGCACTCAGGAAACTGTGATGAGGGAAATAGTGCATTCTGGAGGGCTGCCCCAAGCATCCCTGCTCACCTGAGTGTCTTACTGTAAGACAGCCAGGATCATCTCCAAGCTAGCTCCTAACTCTAGCCTGGTGGCAGGAGCTGGGAACTGGAACTTGTTCTGCAGGCCTGCCTGGAGAAAGAAGCAACAGCACTGAGCAGATGAGGTACCCCACCTCCTGCTCCAGAGATCTCAGGAGGTGCCCAATTAACTTGCCCATCCTCCCTTTTGTGCTTCAGGGCAAGAGCCCTGTTTTCACTGCAGATACTCTTTTATAGCGGTGGCAAGTCAAATAAGCTTGCAATCACAGCTGTCAAAAAGAGGAGCTTCACCTCTTCCTGTGGTGTCCCCTGTGATACCACCTGGAGGAATGAGAGCAAAGTTGGAGCATTGTGATTGACAGTTGTGGGTTGTTGTGTGAACCAACCTATTGCGTGATTCAGGCTTTTAGATTAAGGCTGAGTTTGACATTTCTTAAATAAAGATTGCGTAACCTCCTTGTTACCATGCTGGAAAAGCATGACAAGTTCCTCAGTCTTTTAGATAATACTCAAAATTCTAGAAAGTTCTGAAAGATAAGAGCTACTTCCAAATTTTCTCCCAGGATTTTCACTGGAACATGCTCCTTTGATGAAAATAGTAACATTACATAGACTTGTTTTCTCATGAGCCAAATTCCCCCATCAAATTAGCATACAATATATAAAACAACTATAAATGGGGTTTCCAGTTTTGTTTTTGTTATCATAGGATTGATTTGTGGCTTATCCATGATTGTGTAGCATGTATAATCTTCAGCTGGCACACTTTCAATGAACAGGATTGACAAAAGATGATAATCAACAAGAATGAGTGAATATTTCAAATTATTTTAAGTGTCCCATAATACAATCAAACTTTCTAATATTCCACATATTTAATTTTCTCCCTTTAAACATATATTCCTAGATAACTTATCACATATTTTTCTGTGATATTACAAATTAGTTTGTCCTATCACAACTGCTTTATTGCATCATATGTCCTTAAGTATCTGTAGACTTGTCAGATCAAGATGAACGTGAGCAGTACAAACAAGAAGATACTATAATGCCATATATCATGAACACACAACAGTTACTCAACTGTTTAATGTTCAGCTTTTTAAATACTTTATCTTGGTATTTTCATCTGTTTCAATAGCACACAGACAATATCTAACACTACCCGTGTGCTAGCAGAAGGTACCATGAGTGTAACAAGTTCCTCCATCAACCATAAATGAACACAAACTTGTCAGTAGCACCATTTGGCCAATCCTGACCCAGAAATGAGTGTATCAGAAGTCCTAGGTCCTGTTGTGCAAGTAATGGGCTCTGCTAGCCTAACAGAAACAGGAATATAATGGCAGTATTGGCTACAGCCCCATAAATCTAGATTGAAATACATTCTGAAGGATTTAGTTTTCTATTATTCTACTTCTATGACAGTTTATTGTGCTTTGTGTTTCAGATATGCTGCCTCAGTTAAAGATGGCTCACAGTATTTTGTTCTTCTCATTATTACGGATGGGGTCATTTCTGACATGGCTCAAACAAAGGAGTCCATAGTGAATGTAAGTTACATTTAAGTGTGATAGTGGATTAAACAAAATGTAGTTTAAATATGCAAGTATTAAATGATGTAGGCTGACTCCACAATAATTCAGATACCAGACTTCAAAATTTAGAAAGCACTGCATTCTCAACTGGATCACGCACCCATTGTCATTGTCACATCTTCACACACATTTCCATACCCTGTATTCAAGTATGCTAGCCATTTCTCCTATTTTGACTGGTGTGCAGCTTTACCCCTCCCTCCCTTCCTCCCTCCATCTCACACTCTAAGAGAGGAGAGGGATGGACAAGAAGAAAGAGCAACCTCCATAAATTTAGTAGCAGCAACAAAATACAGAGAATCAGAAATCAAAAGCTACAGATACGTTTTACACCTTTTCCAAAAAAGGACTCCTGTGAACCTTTGTCATGGAGTTACTTCACAGCCTTTGGGCAGTTCCTTTAAAATGCCTGTAAATTGCTGTGGATTGTTTTTTACTTCAAGCATTGACAGCAACCCTAGTCTAAAGAACAGTGTTGTATGAGAGAAAAAGTCGTAACTTTCAAGTAATTTTAAGTGTGGCTACATGTGTTCTTTCTCCTTCAACCCTCCCCTCCCCAACACACAATTGTAGTTTAGGGTACAAAAGAGCAGAAGGAATACAAGCCAGAAGTTTGTTTTTCACTGCATTTGGATTGTAGCAGTAAATTACAAATAGAGAGGTTAGGTGTGTGACATTTAGCTGCAGAAATGTGGCATCTTTCAAATGTCTCCTGAGATGAGAATGCACTTGTTCTTTTATCTTGGCTTTTAATAAAATTCACATGCTACTCTATTGTATTTTTCTTGTACTGTTCTGCAACTGTAATGACAAATATTTTTTAAATTATATTTTACTGTAATTTTAATATTTTAACTATGATTTTAATACTTCTATGTAAACTGCTTAGGGATTTTTTAGAAACCCAGCAGTATAGAAATATTGCAAACAAGCAACAATAAACATTAGAAAAGTATGTGATACTGTTTACATGTGTATTTCTTTTTTTGAAGGCTGCAAAGCTTCCAATGTCAATAATAATAGTTGGAGTTGGTCCAGCAGAATTTGATGGTGAGTATCCCTGTATTAGAATGGTTTTTGGAAAGGTGTCAAGGGCATGCCCAAACAGCTTCTTTTGTCTAATGTTAGTATGGTGGCAAGATGTCTTCTTCATATGTACAAAGTAGAGAATGAAGTATAATTGTAAGTTAGGATAATGCTATCTGAATTTTCACTGCCATTTTTATTGCCATGCTTGTTAATTAACTTAAACCAGTGTTTCTGAAGCTCATGCATAGTATGGAACTGTGGTTTTCTAAAATGTTTTAATTCTCTTTCACACACACACACTTCCAATTGAGCCCCATTCATTTTGCCCTATGCTGCTGCTTTTTAAACTTTTCTTTCTTTTTTATGGAAGGAAATTGTAGCAACCACAGCAGTAAGGAGCCACAAAAAGAAAATTTTACAGCTCTCTTTCTGGGGTAACTGGAAAGTCAGCAAATGCTGAAAAGGCAGAGGACACTGATCAATGTTGACTGAACACTGAAACCTGAGGGGATCACATTGCTAAGTGGGGAATATTGTGTCCCCATTTCTGGGGTACTTACTCCCATTGTTTGGTTCCCTATTTTCTTGTTTGGCAGCTGAAACAGGCAAGGAAATTGACCAGGCAAGACTAAACATATTGGACAGGTGAAAGAGCACAGGTGCATTTTCAAAGGACTGCCAGCACTTTTTAAAAATGACCTCAGTTGAGCATTTCTGAAGCACTGGCAAAGGGGGAAATGAATAATGGTTCTTCCAAAGTACCATTTTGACATTGGTGGAAGGGCAGTCACTGGTGAGATCACAGAAAGGATTTTTATTTTGTCCATTCTTGCAAGTAGCTCTGTAACTCATCATCACAACTCATGACAAAATGGGTCTCCCAGGTTCAGCTGACACAACAACCCATCATGGGCAAGAACAAGAACAAAGTTTCCTTTAGAGGAATGGAACCCTTGGCTCCAACACAATATTAATAGTATTTTAAGCTCTCTGTTTAATGAGCCAATTTTGAAGTACAAATAATTACTCTACCCAAACCACCATTGGAGGGAAGATATAGGCATGTTTTGCTTGAAGGATAATCTTATAGCTGGTTAAAAGTTTGATATACCTTTTAGACAAAAAGTTAACAGAGTTAAATAGTTAATGTGACTCAATTATATTGTTGCTAAAATTAATCAGTGGTCTGGAATACTTGATCTCTCATGAGTTTGGTGAATTCCTGTTTGGGAATTTAAAATAACCTGTGTCTTCGGTTCTAGAAATTTATGCTGTATCATATTTAACTGAAAAAATGGAAATGTACTAATTATTGTCAGTATATGGTTACATTGCTAACTTACTGATTGTACTTTAAAATGAGTGATGATGTTTAGACTGATTTTGGAATTGGCAGTAAATACATAATACTATATAATGGCAACCCACTCCAGTATCTTTGCCATGAAAACCCCTGGACAGTACCAAAAGGCAAAAAGATAAGACGCCGGAAGATGAGCCCCTCAGGTCAGAAGGTGTCCAGTATGCTACTGGGGAAGAGCGGAGGGCTAGTACTAGTAGCACCAGAAAGAATGAAGTGACTGGGTCAAAGCCGAAAGGACACTCAGTTGCCGATGTATCTGGTGGTGAAAGGAGAGTCTGATGCTGCAAAGATCTATACTCCATAGGAACCTGGATTGTAAGATCCATGAATCAAGGCAAGCTGGATGTGGTCAAACAAGAGATGACAAGACTGAACATCGACATCTTAGGAATCAGTGAACTAAAATGGACAGGAATGGGTGAATTTAATTCAGATGACCATCAAGTATACTACTGCGGGCAAGAATCCCTCAGAAGAAATGGAGTAGCCTTCATAGTCAATAAAAGAGTAGGAAAAGCAGTACTGGGATACAATCTCCAAAATGACAGAATGATCTCAGTTCGAATCCAAGACAAACCATTCAACATCACAATAGGCCAAGTCTGTGTCCCAACCACTGGTGCTGAAGAGGCTGAAGTTGACCAGTTCTGTGAAGGCCTACAACACCTTCAAGAATTAACACCCCAAAATGATGTCCTTATCATCATGGGGGATTGGAATGCTAAAGTAGGAAGCCAAAAGATAACCGGAATAACAGGCAAGTTTGGCCTTGGAGTACAAAATGAAGCAGGGCACAGGCTGGTAGAATTTTGTCAAGAGAATACGATGGTCATAGCAAACACTCTTTTCCAACAACCCAGGAGACGACTCTACACATGGACATCACCAGATGGTCGACACAGAAATCAGATTGACTATGTGCTCCTCAGCCAAAGATGGAGAAGCTCTATACAGTCAGTAAAAACAAGACCAGGAACCGACTGTGGCTCAGATCATGAGCTTCTTGTTGCAAAATTCAGGCTTAAATTGAAGAAAGTAGGGAAAAGCACTAGGCCACTCAGGTATGACCTAAATCATATCCCTGATGAATATACAGTAGAGGTGACAAATAGATTTAAGGAACTAGATCTGATAGACAGAGTGCCTGAAGGACTATGGATGGAGGTTCGCAACATTGTACAAGAGGTAGCAACTAAAGCCATCCCAAACAAAAAGAAATGCAAGAAAGCAAAATGGCTGTCTGAGGAACCTTTACAAATAGCTGAGGAAAGAAGGGAAGTGAAAGGCAAAGGGAGAAAGAGAAAGATACAAACAATTGAATGTAGAATTCCAGATAATAGCTAGAAGAGATAAGAATGCCTTCTTAAATGAACAGTGCAAAGAAATAGAAGAAAACAATAGAATAGGGAGGACCAGAGATCTCTTCAAGGAAACTGGAGATATGAAGGGAACATTTCATGCAAAGATGGGCATGATAAAGGACCAAAATGGCAGGGACCTAACAGGCAGAAGAGATTAAGAAGAGGTGGCAAGATTACACAGAAGAACTATACAAGAAAGAGCTTAACGTCCCTGATAACCACGATGGGGTGATCACTGACCTCGAGCCAGACATCCTGGAATGTGAAGTCAAATGGGTCTTAGGAAGTCTGAGCAACAACAAAGCTAGTGGAGGTGACAGTATTCCAGCTGAGCTATTCAAAATCCTAAAAGACGATGCAGTAAAAGTGCTACACTCAATATGCCAGCAAATTTGGAAAACTCAACAGTGGCCACAGGATTGGAAAAGGTCAGTTTACATTCTGATCCCAAAGAAGGGCAATACCAAAGAATGTTCAAACTACCGCACCATTGCACTCATTTCACATGCTAGCAAAGTTATGCTCCAAATCCTACTAGCGAGGCTCCAGCAGTATGTGGACCGAGAACTACCAGAAGTACAGGCAGGATTTCGAAGAGGGAGAGGAACTAGAGATCGAATTGCCAACATACACTGGATCATGGAGAAAGCTAGGGAATTCCAGAAAAACATCTACTTCTGCTTCATTGACTATGCCAAAGCCTTTGATTGTGTAGATCACAACAAACTGTGGCAAGTTCTTAAAGTGATGGGAGTACCAGATCATCTTATTTGTCTCTTGAGAAACCTATATGCAGGTCAAGAAGCAACAGTGAGAACTGGACGCAGAACCACTGATTGGTTCAAAATTGAGAAAGGAGTTCGGCAAGGCTGTATACTGTTGCCCTGCCTATTTAACTTATATGCAGAGCACATCATGAGAAAGGCGGGGCTAGATGAATCACCAGTTGGGATTAAGATTGCCAGGAGAAATATCAACAACCTCAGATATGCAGATGATACCACTCTCATGGCAGAAAGTGAAGAGGAACTAAAGGCCCTCTTGTTGCGGGTGAAGGAGGACAGTGCAAAAGCTTGCTTATTTATTTATTTATTTATTTATTTATTTATTTATTTATTAAAACATTTTTATGCCGCCCCATTCGCCGAAGCCTCGAGGCGGCTTACAACAATAAATTAAAATAACATTTTAAAATATATACATTAAAATACAAATATATGATATAAAACATACAATATAAAACAAGCCGCCCTGGTCAGATAAAATTCAATAATATTAACTTTTAAAATACTGCTTAAATAAAAAGGTCTCCGCCTGGCGCCGAAAAACAAATAACGATGGTGCCAGGCGGACCTCTCTGGGGAGCGCATTCCATAACTTAGGCGCCACTGCTGAGAAAGCCCTCCTCCGAGTAACCACCCTCCTAACTTCTTCCACGGAGGGCTCCCGGAGAAGGGCCTCTCCTGCCGATCTCAGGGGGCGGCTGGGCATATATGAATGTAAGCGCTCCTTCAGGTAACGAGGACCCAAGCCGTTTAGGGCTTTATAGGTCATCACCAACACCTTGAATTGGGCCCGGACTTCAATGGGAAGCCAGTGAAGCTGACGGAGAACTGGAGTCATGTGAACATAACATCCAGTCCCCATCAGCAGCCTGGCAGCTCTGTTTTGAACCAATTGAAGTATCCGGACCGTCTTCAAGGGCAGCCCCACGTAGAGCGCATTACAGAAGTCAAGACGGGAAGTCACCAATGCATGTGTCACTGTCGCAAGGCAGTCGTTCTCCAGGTAGGGACGCAGCTGATGAATCAGCCGAAGCTGGAGGAAAGCGCTCCTTGCCACTGCTGTTACCTGAGCTTCCAGTGAAAGCTCCGGGTCGAGGAGCACTCCCAAGCTGCGGACCTTGTCCCTAAGAGGGAGTGCAACCCCGTTCAGGACAAGGTTCAGTTCACCCTCTCCGAAGCCCGATCCGCCAACCAACAGGACCTCCGTCTTGTCTGGATTGAGCTTCAGTTTATTGGCCCTCATCCAGCCCATTACCTCGGCCAGGCACCGGTTCAGCACAGCCACTGCCTCACCTGGATTGGTGGAAAATGAGAGGTAGAGCTGGGTATCATCAGCGTACTATTTCAAGTTGGCTTGAAACGCAACATTAGGAAAACTAAGATCATGGCATCCGGTCCTCTCATTTCCTGGCAAATAGATGGGGAAGAAATGGAGGTAGTGACAGATTTTATTTTCCTGGGCTCCAAGATCACCGCAGACCGGGACTTCAGCCAAGAAATTAAAAGACACTTGCTCCTGGGGAGGAAAGCTATGGCAAATCTAGACAGCATACTAAAAAGCAGAGACATCACCCTGCCAACAAAAGTGCGTATAGTCAAGGCTATGGTTTTCCAAGTTGCAGTGTATGGCTGTGAAAGTTGGACCATAAGGAAGGCTGAGCGCAAAAGGATTGAGGCCTTTGAATTGTGGTGCTGGAGGAGAGTCCTGCGAGTCCCTTGGACCGCAAGGCAATCAAACCGGTCAGTCCTAGAGGAGATCAACCCTGACTGCTCTTTAAAAGGCCAGATACTGAAGATGAAACTCGAATACTTTGGCCACCTAATGAGAAGGAAGGACTCCCTGGAGAAGAGTCTAATGCTGGGAACAATAGATGGCAAAAGAAGAAGGGGACAGCAGAGGATGAGGTGGCTAGATGGAGTCATTAAAGCAGTTGGTGTGAGCTTAAGTGTACTCCAGGAGATGGTGGAGGACAGGAAGGCCTGGAGGAATGTTGTCCATGGGGTCACGATGGGTCGGACACGACTTCGCAACTAACAACAACAACAATATAATACTAAACTTACATACATATTTTCAGAATGCCACACTCCTGTAGATGGCAGGTTTAAGTACTGCTGCACTTGCATAGATCTTATGGCTTGGTTTGCATGACAGATGAAGTCGCTGTGTGATCTCACTTTGCAAGGAACTGCTTAGTCCCGATCTGTAAAATTCTGGAGGTCCATGCAAAGTGGTGGAGAAAGGGGAAATATTCACCTGCAGCCTGTGCTAGACACTAGGGAATGTAGGGCTTCTTGTTTTGGTGAGCAACTACGAACTATGGCCAGAACCTATCCCAGCTTACCCCATTTTTTAACCCTATTCGTTCTGTTTGCAAGAACGGTTGAATTGCCTAAATAGTATTAGAATCCCTAACCCTGAGTACTTGTTGATAGTTCAACAAATACTATAATAAGCCCAATAAAATATTGTATAATTTAGTAATGGAACAAAAACAGTAGTTTTCATATGGATTTTCAAACTACAATGTATATTTGTTTTTTAAGCTATGGAAGAATTGGATGGTGATGAAGTAAGACTCTCCTCAAGAGGAGTATATGCTGAAAGGGATATTGTACAGGTAAGAAAAAATACTGCTGCCTAGCATATCTTTTCAGTGTTCAAATTTTGTTTGTGTGTGCGCATGTGTGTGTGTGTGTTTGAGAGTCACGACAGTGCAATTATAGTATTGGAATTTGTGTGCAAGAAAACACACTGAATACTTCTGGATTGCTTTGGATGAACAATTTGGGTTTGGTCAGTTTAAAATGTGCTTGGCATTAAAGGGGATTACTTTAGAGTGTGCTCTTGTTATATGCTGGAATTTTTAATAAGTTGTAACTGTTGCAAGAACTTTTAACTCATTTTTATAAGATAGTATTTTGTAAGAGAAGGTTTAGTTGGAATGTTTTTTTCTAGTGAGTATTTTATCAGTTTTCATTCAGTCTTCTGTGAAATGGCACAGAGCTACTACTGTAATGATTTTCATATGAAGAGAAGATCACGATTTGTACCTTAGTGCTTGATAGACATTGTATTGATGCTTAAACGAGGAAATCAGGAACATTATTAGACTAATGGAAAAATTGACAAAAAGACAGATTAAGGACATATCTGTAGAAAAGAAATTTGGTGGCTTTATTAATCCTGGGTGCCAAAAGAATAACAGGACTAAACCATCATCTACTTTCTGTACTCAAAACGAAGAACCAGAAAGAATGTATTCTGAGCTGGCTAGTGTTAAAGCTTTAGGACTCAAGTGATTAATGTATTAATTTCTAAGAATCCAGGAACAAGTCCATCTAACAGTCAAGTTCCTTCGAAATGTTCAGTGTAAAAGTGTAAGCAGAATAGTCTAAAGATGGTGCCTACAAAAACTAGTCTTGGTTTGTTCTGAATTCCCTCCCCCCCAAAAAAATGAGTGGGACCAAGAAAAATGTTCCAGTGTCAATCTGAGGCTCAAAAAAATGTCATGCATGTCATGTCATGACTAAGCATGTCAGTCTCAACCCTCCAAACACAATCACACTTTCCCTTCTTTTATCACTGTGATAACATGAGTGTTCCCAGGTGACAGTAGAAGATGTTTTCCCACAGTCTCTGTGTAAGAGAGTAACAGAGAATAGGGAGGGAGAAATATCCCTTGGTTATTTTTCCCACATGCTGTCAGTGACATTCCTGCTGCCCCCATAGGAAAGAAAGAAGGAAGAGTATTGTGGCCTGGCTCACTGACATGTTATTTAGTCTTTGAATAGGCTCAGAAAATATTTCTAGATTTACCCAACTTCTTTTTCCTTCAGTAAAATATGGAAAAATTCAGGGCCACACTGAGCAGGAATTTCTACAGGTCACACCACTTTAGACTATTTTTGCTTGTTTCTTTGTCATACTTAAATTGTTTGGTTATAATTAAAATATAACCTGAATCTAAAAGAGCCAAAAGGAATATTTAGTTAAAATGCCAATTTATTTTGTACAGTACAAAAATTAATTATATGGCATCACATACAATAAAGATACTTGAATAGTGTATCTATTTTGTTTGGCAAAAACCGACTTAGTATACAAAAACACATTTTGTATACACAGTTACTTACCTTAATTATTTACCTCACATTTATATCCCACATATTTTTCTCTTGTGAGGAACCCAAGGCATTCCTCTTTATCTTATCTTCACAATAAACCTGTGAGGTAAATGAGGAGTATAAGTAGGTTAACAGAATATAAAGTGCTTAATTGTAGCTTGACTGACACAATAATGCCTAAATTTCCATGCTTGTAAAAAGTGTCTTATTTATATGATGATGAGGCATTGTTCAGTAAAAAAGCTGCACTGGGACTAGATGAGCAACCTGTTTTGGATGGGGATGCAATTTTCCTGAAAGATCAGGATTGGAACTTGGGACTGCTTCTACGGTCAGGAGCACTTTTGTACAGTTTTGGCAGGCATGTCAATTGTGGCCTTTCCTGCAGAAGTAGAATCTAGTCACTGTCACGTGCCTTGTCATGTCTGACATGCATTAACTCTGAAAAGTGTTCTGAAACTATAACTGGTACAGAATACTGTGGCTAGAATGGTGTTGGATGCCAATAGCATGGATAATTTTGACCTCATATAATCTGCATTGACTCCCAGTTTACTTCCAAGCAGAATTCTTTGCTCTGTGCTTTACTTCTAAAGGCCTGTACTGTTATGGACAGGATTATTTAAAGGATCATCTTCTGTTCCTTAACTCTGCCAGCTTACTGGTGTAATCAGTGGAAGACTTGGTCTATGTCATTCCACCATCAGAGGCACAGTTGGTGGTGAAACAAACCAGAATCTTTTTAATAATAGCACCTCAGCTTCGAAACTCCTTCCCTGGAAGATTCTGTGCCCCCCCCACACACACATTATAAAAAAGCATATCTTTGCTAGCATGTTTCCTGGTTTGCAGTTTTTAATTTTGCTGCTCTGATATTTGATATTTCCTCCTTTGCATTTCCTTTTCATAATTATTACTAAGATGTTTATGTTTGTAGGTTTGAAGACCTCCATTAGAAAAGTGGTCTAAAAATACAGATAGGAAATATGAGTTATATCTAGTGTTAGCTCTACTTAGAACTGACCCATTGGAATGTAAACAACTTAAGTTAGACTAAAACTGGATACAACCCAGTATATCATTATTGAAGATACCTATAATGAACTTATCAACTTAACTTGTGAAATAAGTGATTTTTTTTAATGTCAAGGATTTAGTTTTCTTTTTATCTGATGCCACAGTAGCAATGCTGAACATTTTTCTTTCATTTTCTTCCAGTTTGTACCATTTCGGGATTACATTGACAGAAGTGGAAACCACATATTAAGTATGGCCAGACTTGCTAGAGATGTCTTAGCTGAGATCCCAGACCAGTTTCTCTCTTATATGAGGGTCAGAGGAATCAAGCCTTCTCCTGCACCACCTCCATACACGCCACCTATTCATGTAGTGCAGACTCAGATATGAGTGGTCCAAATACTGAATGCTCTTCACAAACTGTAGAGTGCTGCTAAGAAAATGCTCCAGTACAGTGGTGCACTTTAAAGAGCCAATAAGCTGAGGCCAAGGTTCTCTCTTTGTAAGCAGTGGAGCTTCTGGTGGGCTTTGGAGCAAAATAAATTATCTTCATATACCAAAATATCCAGTCTGGTTGCATGCGCAACGAGAAGCGAAATGGTAATGTTTGTTTTTAAGTTTTATTTTGTTTTTAACAGAAAAAAGCTACTGTTTCATGTGTTAGGAGAGAAAGCACAAGTCACGGGTTCTACTCAGAAGTCCTTTTTCTTTCCTGACTAACTTAATATGTACATATAATGTGAATGCAATTCTTCTGTATCAATGTTTACATGTTACTACTTTTCAAATGGAACTACTTTTTTTAATAATTATTCTTAATCTTAAGAATTTGGAATATTGAATTATCTATCTTGCAATAGTAAAATCCACAAGAGAAGCAATATCTCTTTGAATGATTGTCCAGACAAATGTGAATGCAAAAATAACAGTAGAAAGCAGGGGGACAAATACATTCATAGATCTTGATAATGGAAACACCTCACTCAAGTGCTCAGTATTCATCTGACATATTTGAGAATAAGCTTCCAAAATGTGAATACTGTAAGAATATGTATTTTTGCAAGATATTCCAGTTCCTGAAATAACTTGTGTTTACATTTTTTAAGACTGATTATGCTGGCATAATAAATTTGAACACCACCGACAACAGTGTAATTTTAGGAAATGGGTGCATCAGATAACTTTGGGTCCTATAGTTTAGCTCATGTAATTTGTGAAATCTGTAGAGTATCTTGCATAACAACTATAGAGCTTTGTCATCAAATTGCTTTCTGAAGGTGAATCTTTTGTGTGAGTGACTTAAAGCTCTTATGCAAGCTGCCAGTTGTTGTGAAGTTTGTCTAGATTGTCTATTCAAAGGGATGCTGGCTCATTTCGAACTGGCTGTTGAAATAGTCACACTGATGTACAGGGCACACAAGTGGTAATCTATTAATTAACTGGGTTAAAATTGCACAGCTATGTTGCTTTGTGCACAACTTTGTGTATAGAACTACTCAAGTATTTTATGATAATGCCTGTTCTTATCCTAATTATCAAATGTTTTTGCATGTACAGTTTTTACAAGAAATTCACATTTTTGTGAGCATTTGTGTCAAAACTTTTAATTAGAACAAAAGGCCTTAAATCTCACAAATACCTTGGAAATGATTGTGAATTGCCTTCAGATACTGGAAGACATGTTTTACTTTTGTGTCAAAAGTGTAATTGCCTTGTAATGTGTAGCTCTCTTTTTGGCACATAACCTGTTTACTACTTTGTTTATTACTATATATGTTATACTGAACAGTATTAAATTAAGGTGCATTTTTTTAAGCATGAAAGGCTTTTTTTCTGAAAAAAAAAATATATATAACATCAATGGCATTTAATCATATGTAATACTGAATCTTCCATTTTTAAATATATTAAAGGTCCTTAAAATATTCTCATATTGAAAATTGCTTCTCTGAATTTTATAAGAGGGAAGGCCCAATCAGTATATACAGAATAGCTAAGCACTCATCTAATTAGCAATTCTTATTGCAGCTACTGAATCAGCAAAAATAAGAGAGCTGTCACATTTATTTGAGTTGAGCTGGTAAATATTTTCAAAAACTTTGAGGGATTCAGGACTTTTTAGACTAAACAAGTTCATGGGAAAGACATTAGCCTGCTTCACACATAACACTAAGCTATGGTATATTTAAGCTTGATAGGCTTGTTGCCTATCAAAGTATATCTGATGTATGATCAAACAAGCCATGATTTTTTTCAGTCCTTGGGTAGTTTGCTTTCTTCCTCGCTCCGTTCTGTGTTTGTATTTCAACTGCCCTTGCTACTCTACAGTATTGGCATGTAAAGAGGCTGGGTATTTGACTTTTTGGCTTTGGCAAAGTAACCCATGAACCAATCTGCATTTGCACAAAACTACAAAGAACAGACAGTTCATAACTCAACAACAAACCATGAGTACTCTTTGTGAGTTTTTTGTTCTTAATGATCCATAACTAATGCATAGTTTCAGGTTCACTTAAGGACAACCCATGATTCAAAAATCCTTGATTAATTAAAACATGGTTTCTTATATGCAAATTAGGTCATTAACAGAAAATGGGACCATATATCACTGAAAAACAAAAGCTCAAGGAATAGAACAAAGCTAATATATATTTTCTCCCAATATGAAATACAGTGGTACCTCAGCTCACGAACACCTCATTTCATGACCAAATCAAATCGCAAACAGAAATTTCAGGAAAAAATTGTCTCAGGTCGCAAACTCTGCATTGGGTGACAATTACAATTGTGCCAGTCTTCCCTGCATGAACATGGCCACAATCACACTCAGGCGGAGGAGACGGCCGCGATCGTGCTCGGGCGGGGGGGGAATGGCTGTGACTGCAGTCACGCTCATGCAGGGAAGACGGTAGTGACTGCAGTCGCGCTGGGGGGTGGGGGAAGATGGCCGCAATCTTTGTTACTTTGTTGTTCTTTGTCAATTTTTTCAAATTTTTGTCATTAAAAAATGGTTACAGAATGGATTAACCTTATTTACATTGAATCTTATGGGGAAATTTGACTTGGCTCACAACCAATTTGGGTCGCGACCAGAGTTCTGAAACAGATTAAGTTCGTGAGCCAAGGTACCACTGTAATGTTGTGAAGAATTTTGTCTTTGTTGCTTCAGAAAGTTCTCAAAGGAGCTGCCTCATATTACATGCCATATAAATTTTAGTGATCCTTTTTCTCATTTGTGTCACCATCAAAATCAAAAAACAATTTTCTAATGTGTCAGTTGGATTCTTTTTTCTCATGGACTACATTTTGATACATGCTAGCAAGGTTATGCTCAGAATCCTACAAGCTAGGCTCCAGCAGTATGTGGACCAAGAACTACCAGAAGTACAGGCAGGATTTCGAAGGGGGAGAGGAATTAGAGATCAAATTGCCAACATACGCTGGATCATGGAGAAAGCTAGGGAGTTCCAGAAAAACATCTACTTCTGCTTCATTGACTATGCCAAAGCCTTTGATTGTGTGGATCACAACAAACTCTGGCAAGTTCTTAAAGAGATGGGAGTACCAGACCATCTTATTTGTCTCTTGAGAAACCTATATGCGGGTCAAGAAGCAACAGTGAGAACTGGACACAGAATTGAGAAAGGAGTTCAGCAAGGCTGTATACTGTCGCCCTGCCTATTTAACTTATACGCAGAGCACATCATGAGAAAGGCAGGGCTAGATGAATCACAAGTTGGAATTAAGATTGCCAGGAGAAATATCAATAACCTCAGATATGCGGATCGCAGAAAGTGAAGAGGAACTAAAGAGCCTCTTGTTGTGGGTGAAGGAGGAGAGCGCAAAAGTTGGTTTGAAACTCAACATTAAGAAAACTAAGATCATGGCATCCGGTCCTATCACTTCCTAGCAAATAGATGGGGAAAAAATGGAGGTAGTGACAGATTTTATTTTCTTGGGCTCCAAGATCACTGCACGCGGGGACTGCAGCCAAGAAATTAAAAAATGCTTGCTCCTTGGGAGGAAAGCTATGGCAAATCTAGCCAGCATACTAAAAAGCAGAGACATCACCCTGCCAAGAAAAGTGCGTATAGTCAAAGCTATGTTTTTCACAGTTGCAATGTATGGCTGTGAAAGCAGGACCATAAGGAAGGCTGAGCACCGAAGAACTGAGACCTTTGAATTGTGCTGGAGAAGACTCCTGCGAGTCCCTTGGACTGCAAGGCGATCAAAGTAGTCAGTCCTAGAGGAGATCAACCCTGACTGCTCTTTAGAAGGCCAGTTACTGAAGATGAAACTCAAATACTTTGGCCACCTAATGAGAAGGAAGGACTCACTGGAAAAGACCCAAATGCTGGAAATAATTGATGGCAAAAGAAGAAGGGGACGGCAGAGGATGTGGTGGCTAGATGGAATGACTGAAGCAGTCGATGTGAGCCTAAATGGACTCCGGGAGATGGTGGAGGACAGGAAGGCCTGGAGGAATGTTGTCCATGGGGTCGTGATGGGTCGGACAGGTCTTCGCGACTAACAAGAACAACAGAATAACCTGGAAAAAGTATGTCACAAACTTTTCTAACACAATTTAATAATAGGCAGATCCATGCCTTTCCCTGTTACTATCCTGTTCCCTTTCCTTTCCCAACAACTTTCCTCTGAGATTACAATAAGAATTAGATGTGTGTACTGTCCTGTGCTGCCTAGAATGCCCTCCTCAGGACCATAGATTATTTTGTATGTTAGTCTGATAAGTTACTATAAGCTCATGCAGTAAATTCCATGTCATGTAAGTTGTCTGCCTCAATAACATGTGAAGTTGCTCTTTTATCATTATTTTATTCCTAAACATAGGAATTGACCCTGATATCTGTAAATCAGTATGTCCTGGCATTATTAATGCTTCATTTAAATGAATAATAGTTGAATGTGCCTGATATGACATGGGAAGTATTGAATTCCACATTAGATTTCATTGTGATAGCTGATTTCAGCCTATTTCTAGTAAACATGTCATAGATTTTGAAATTAGAAGGGATACAATCCAAAGTATTGCACAGAGAAATGAACATTTTTCTATAGTTCACTGTCGAATTTGCATAAGTGTTTACACCATCAGTTAACAGCTGGCTTTGTTTTAAAAGACATGCACATAAGTAAAGAGATATCTCTTAATAGATTTTCTTGTATTTGTGGAAGAATGCTGTTTTCTGCAACTTTGCTCATGCAGTTGGCTTTAAAGAGAGAGAGAATGTGTCATACCCTGTGAGGCCAAGGTCTAAATCATGTTCAGTTTAAAGAGTTAAGGCACTTTGATGGCTCATGTTCAGGACTGCATGGTGTTTCTGTTGAACTGGCATCCATTAGAATCAAAAAGTGTGTGTGTTGGGAGCTGGTGGCAGAGAATGCATGTTAATGTATTCTCATTCTTTTATCAAATGGGTGAAAACATTCCATTCTGAGTAAACTGCAATTGAGGAGAAATAAGTGATGACCACTGAACACACCCTTGAGAAATGGGTGTGAACCTAGAGACTTGAACTCTTCCATTTTGCACATAGCAACTTGTGTAGGGAAAAGCAAGCATGCTGCATATAGCGCACACCCCTCTTCTGCTTTTACTTGGCAGCCCATGATTGATTCCTACTGAGCATGAGGTGCAATGCTAAACTGCTGACCTAAATGAAGGTTTTGTATTTTGTTACTAGATGAGAGCGTGTGCTTGAATGTGCATATTGCTGGCCATTCTCTTGTGCCTGTGGCACACTGCAGGACATTTTTAATGTACAAATTAGTGGGGAAATTCCCCCAGAGCCCTCATGAATTCTCTACTAGCAGTCTCAGACATTTTCACCAGTAAGATGCCTTTTCAATTCAGTCAGCTTCTTTCTTCACCCGGAGAATATCAGTTCCTTTATAACTCTGAACACCTCACCTATCTTGTGTTTGTTCTCAGTTAACATAAAGTGTTCTTTTCATGCTGCCCCCTCCAGGATTTATTGTTAAGCGCAACTGGGAGAGCTGTGATAACAGCTCACTCAAACATGACTGCTTTATTTTAGCACTACCTTTTCTTACCTGTTCCCTTGATCATACTTTGCTTATTGCTGTTCCCACTGCCTATCAACCTCTTTTCCCAATGCTATTCCATTTCCATGCATTTCAAAGAGGTGCAGAATTGTTGCATTCATTTGGAAAATGCACACAAAAATACAGGCCAATTTTCATGCAGAAATGAAAAAATACTTTCTCTTGGAGACAGACATGAGATGAAATTTGGCAAACCTTGGCAAACCTGAGACAAACCTACATCCATGCTCAGTACTGACAACAAGGATCTTGTTGGCATACCAAAAAAAGATAGACATGTACCAAAAATAATGTTGCCACCACTGCCGCTGTGTTCTCTAGGCCATTTCACAGATCATGTATGCAAATACCACCAATTGTTTTATTAATTTATCTATTTATTTATTGTATTTGCATGTTGCCCCATAGCCTGGAGTCTCTCTAGGCAGATCACAGGAAAACAGGAAAAACAACATGACATAGTTGCAATGAAATAACAACTATATCATCTAAACCCAGATAAATCCAATTAATGTACGAAACAGGGAGACAATATAACCAACAGTAAAACCTGCAGTGAAAATAGCATAGAAAAATCATAATTTGAAAAGCAAAAAAAAGTTATTACTTGCTGGCAAAAGCAAAATAATGAGGGTGTCAGTCACACCTCTTCAGGAAGAGAATTCCAGAGACAAGCTGTGATAATGAAGAAAGTCCTTTTTCTTGGTTCACATCACAGAATTTAGGATGCTGTTACTAAAGGTTGCTAGCGGATAGAGCAACGTCCAGCTGATGGGCAGCAAAGCAGAGCTAGGCAGCTTTGTTTTTAACTTGCCCACTGGGAACCAAATGCACATCTTTGCCTGC